TCAGCGCTTGTGCACTGAATGCTCTTTTCTCTTTCCTTCTAGTTGTACAACTTTCACTCAGCCAGCTTTCACATGGTTCTGGGTGATGAACATTTTGTCTTTTAGTTGCAGTTTTGAAATTGTTGTACAAGGCAGCAGTTTAGGTGTTTACCTATACCACCATCTTTGATCCTCTCCCTACATGACTGGCTTTTTTAATCTGGAGGGAGACACAAACTCCTGACTGCTCTGACCTCCAGTCCTGGGTAAGACTCTGGGGACCCAGACTCAGAGAGGGAGAAATTGGACTGTCTGGCAGCAGGCAAAACTCGAGGGAGGCTTTCTCTCAAAGGTTCTTGTAGCAATTACTGAGGGACACTGAGACCCGGGGGCCTCTTAGGGCAGGGCTGATGGGAAGCCATTGCTGTTTGCGCTGCCCTTAGACTCTGCCTCATACAAGCTGTACACAAAGGCTTTTGCATATGAAAGGTCTGGTCCTTTGAAATTTAAACTTACCTATCAAACTGCAGCTGAGTCAGTGAGACACAGAACATCCAAAAGAAGGCCCAAGGCTCCACAGCAGCTTGCATTGCTTCAAACTTGGGCCGTATCTGGGCCCCTCCAAACCCCAAACAAAGAAGAGGAATCTGCATATTTCTTTGTAGCTCCTGCTGGGTGGTCTCAGGCAGAGGCTAAATTAGCACCACCTTAGAGATCCAAGAGCCAGTATACCCAGGGATCAGATTAGAACCATCCAGATTACAACTCCTCAGGGGGAAGACTCAGTGAGCACCAAAGCCCTTGAAGCAAGCCTTGCTTCATAAGGGTGTCTTCAGCACAGAAGTTTTCCCAGCATAGACACAGCTGATTCTCACAGCCAGTTGGCCTGGAGGTCAATATCCCACAGTGGTACCAACAACAATCAAAGCTTAAATACAGCAAGACTGTGCATACAACCCACAAAAGGGTGTACCAAGAGTGTTCACCTCAGATAACTGGGGAGGCTGAGCCACTGGGCCCTATAGGACACCTAGCACACAAAACCACTCTATCAATACAGGGAAGCAGCCAAAATGTGGAGACAAAGAAACAGGTTACAAATGAAAGAAATGAAGGAAACCAAATGACTGGATATAGTGTTCAAAATCACAGTTATAAGTTTTTTTAAGAATTTTCTAAAAAAGGCCAATAAATTTAGTGAAATCCTTGAGGATATAAAAAAGGACCAACTAGAAATTAAACATACACTGGCTGAAATAAAAAATATTATACAGAGAACTAACAGAAGAGAAGAGAGAAATATCGATGGGTTGCCTCCCATATCCAGTTCAACTGGGGATTGAACCCACAACCTGGATGTATGCCCTGACCTCAAATAGAACTAGCAACCTCTCAGTGCACAGGATAATGTTCAACCAACTGAGCCACACTGACCAGGGTGACAGACCCAGTTTTGACAATGAAGTCCATATTTTGCTAAGGAATAGCTTCACTCAAAGATTCCTGGTGCATTTCAACAGACTACTTTAGTTGTAACATTGACTGGAGCAAAGGTGACCACCATGCCAGGTTTGAGAGAACACTAGTCTCCACTTGGCCCACAGGTAAAATAACAACACCATTAAACTTTAATATATATATATATATATATATATATATATATATATATATATATATATGTTTATAAATATATATATTTTAGAGAGGGAGAGAGAGAGAAACAAAAATGATGAGAGAGAATCATTGATCAGCTGCCTCCTGTATGCTTCACACTGAGGATCAAGCCAGCACCCTAGGCATGTACCCTGACTGGGAATCGAACCATGACCTCCTAGTTCCTAGGTCAACCCTCAATCACTGAGCCACACCAGCCGGGCAATACCATTAATTTTGTAGACATCATGGAGGGACAGACACAGGGGCTTGTCAGTTGGGTGAGTTGGTGACAGTATGCCAGGGGTCTTCAAACTTCTCTCATTATGAGAATCACCTGGTGGAGTTGTTAAAACACAGATTCCCGGATCCCAACTATAAGAAGTGCTATCAGGAATCTGTGTTTTAACACCTCCACCAGGTGATTCTCATAATGAGAGAAGTTTGAAGACCCCTGCGTATGCAATCCAAAGCGTCAAGCAGCATGGTTCCTCTTGCATTGCCGTCTTTACAGGTGATTTTCCATCCCTTGAACTGAGGCATGTTAGCAGTTGGCTCCAGCATGTTATCCCCATTCTAAGCAGAAATTGACATAAATGTTACATGTCTTAGGATTGTAGCCAGTTGTCTTTAATATAGGTGCTGACTTCTTTAACAATTTTCTCATATTACTTTTGGCCGTTGGTTGGCTCAGAAAAACAATGAGTTGTTTCACACACAGTGTGTAAGGGCATGATCACAGGTCTGCCCATTTTTGGATATACCAGCTTCAAATATACCAACACCACCAATAACAATCAGGACAGCAAAGTCGGGCTGAGATGTGGCTGTAATAATGTTTTTTGATGAAATTTCTGTGTTCTGGCCGAAACTGGTTAAGCTCAGTGGATAGAGCGTCTCGACGCATGTGGACTGAAAGGTCCTGGGTTTGATTCCAGTCAGAGGCATGTACCTTGGTTGCGGGCGCATTCCCAGTAGGGGTTGTGCAAGAGGCAGCTGATCGATGATTCTCTTTCATTGATGGTTCTAACTCTCTATCCCTCTCTCTTCCTCTCTGTAAAATACCAATAAAATATATTTTTTTTTTAAAAGAAAAAGAAAATGTGAAAAAGAAAAAGAAATCTCTGTGTTCTGGGGTATCCATGATGTCACTTAATACTTTCTGTTCTCAAATTTTCACAGAGATATAAATGGTGATAGCTTGCTCACATTCAGCTTTTAGTTTATCCAAGACCAAGGCATTCTTGAAGGAACCCTTCCTCACCTCAACAGTCTCCTTCCCCAAATTTTTGATGGCTCTTCTGTTAATCCCAACACATTTGTAGATAAGATGGCCAGTAATGTCAGACTCTATCTCTCCAATAACAATGATGTTGATATGAGTCATTTTTTAAAACTATATTTTTATTGATTTCGGAGAGGAAGGGAGAGGGAGATGGAAACATTAATGATGAGAGAGGATCACTGATCAACTGCCTCCTGCATGCCCCCCACTGGGGATCGAGCCTGCAACCAAGGCATGTGCCCTTGACCAGAATTGAGCCCGAGACTCTTCAGTCTGCAGGCTAATGCTCTATCTACTGAGCCAAACTGGCTAGGGAGATATGAGTCTTTTTCTTTCCCATTTTGGTTTAAATTTAGTGGTGGTTTTCACACATATGTTCTGGCGACAAACCCATTGTGTGTGTGGGGGGGGGGGTGTACAATAAGTTTTTAATTAGTGGGGTTTTTTTTTGCCTCATTTCTTGCTACTCCAACCTATTCTATAAAAGATTATTTTAAAAAATAAATAAACAAATAAAAGATAATTATTTAAAAGCTCATTTCTGGATATGTCACACTCCTGGTCATAAACTTTTGGTGATTCTACACAGAGTAGAGGATAAAGTCCAGAGAGTAATATGGCATTCAAACACTGCTATAGCCAGACCTCATTATTTCTATTACTAGAGGCCTGATACACGAAATTCGTGCAAGAGGCTTGGCGCTCGCAGCCTTGGCAGCTTGCCTTGGCACTCACAGCCCCAGTTTCATCTGCAAGTTCGCCTGGAAGTTCATCTGGAAGGATGTCTTGAAGGTTGTTCAGCTGTCTGGTCTAATTAGCATATTACCCTTTTATTATTATAGATTATAGATAAGTGGTTATTTTATTAATGTAACATGGCAATTTTCAGCTTTGTCTCATACTCTTCCTTTTATCTGCTTTGACCCTTACCATTAATTTACATCCGGAAATCCCTATCAAAGCCAACGAAAATACTGTCTCCTTGATTGAAAGTAACCCTTTCTGCTTTGATATTTATGTAGCAAATTGTCATTGTATTATGATAGCATAGCTTATATCCAAATGTCATCAATATTTCTTTTTAATTTTTATTTATTTATTTTAGAGAGTGAGGGAGAGGTAGAGAAAACATGAACTTGTTGTTCCACTTATTTATGCTTTAATTAGTTAGAGCATTGTCCTGATACACCAAGGTTGTGGGTTCAATCCCTGGTCAGGGCACATACAAGAATCAAACAATGGATGCATAAATAAGTGGAACAACAAATTGATGGTTCTCTCTCTCTCAAATCAATTAAAAAAAAAATAAAGATCAAGTTCCTTTTCTTCTACTCCTGGGACATCTTGCCTTTCTGGAAAGATGAATTTTTAACTAGCTTATATTATTAAAGCCAAGTTTTCACGTCTCAGGAATACAGAATCTGCTACCTAAAAACCAACCAAACAAACAACCCCCCCCCCCCCCCCAGCATTTATATACATAATCCCTTGACTGTATAAATTGAGCCACAGGCGCTATCTTGGCTCAGGACACCAAGGCATGGAAGAGAAACTATCTTCTTATCTTCACCTTCTTGTAGGTTACAACACATAATAATACTGTGATCCTTTCCATGACTATGCATCACATTTCTTTTCTTTCTTTTTTTAAATATATATTTTATTGATTTTTTTACAGAGAGGAAGGGAGAGGGATAGAGAGCTAGAAACATCATCGAACCTGGGACCTTTCAGTCATTCTATCCACTGAGCCAAACCGGTTTTGGCTGCATCGCGTTTCTGCATCATTTTTTTTTTTTTTTTTTTTTTTTTTTAGTGAAAACAACGTAGTTGAACAAAAATAAACTTGGAGTGCCCAAAACTAGTTCGTTCTGACCTCAAACGTCACATTGGGAAAGCTGGGATATAGGCTCCTTACATACTCGGCCTAGAGAGCAGTGTGCAGAAATAAACTACATTTCCCAGCATCTTTGCGCGGTATGAGGGCGGGCCAGGGTGGAGGGGGCGTGCCTCTATGTGAACATCCTTCTTATTGGTGTGCACACCTGTTGGTGTGTAAGGTTGTGGGCGATTGGACGAATTCATGCACGTTCGGTGGCGCCGCGACGCTCCCTGAATTAACTTTGTTTTTCCGTTGGGTTCTGTGACCGGCGGCTTAGCGCGGCGTGAGTAAGGTCGGGTTTCTGGGGAGGGGGCCAGGCTAGGGGCCCCGGGGAGGAGAGCCCAGGTGAGGGCGAAGGAAGTGCGGGAGCAGTGCGGAGGGAGGGATGTGAGCCTGTAAATTCGGAGGCAGGGGGGTTGTCAGGGGGGCTGGGGACCGGAAGGGGGAAGTTACAAGATGCAAAGATTTCGAGGTGCTAGCTAGAGCATTGAGGAGCTGTAGCGACGAGGGAGTTGAAAACGGGATGGAATTGAAAACAGAATGAGGACGTCCTGGACTTTGGTTCCGGTATTCCCTCACGCCAAACTAGTCTAATTAAGCATCAATCTCGTTTGTTAAAATTAAGGGGTAATAAAAAAATACTTCATAGAGTTGTTGTGGGCTTAGATAAAATAAATGCCAAAGTGCTAAACAAATGTTAATTATAAGTAGACAGGCTATAAAAATATAAATACAAGTATATATATATATATATATATATATATATATATGAACAAGGATGTCACAGAGGAGTAGGAATACAAGCTAGCTGAAACCCACTAGGCAAGGGCAGGGCATTGGTTTTTGGAGGGAGTGAGGGAGGGGGTTGCAATGAAGAGTGAGGCACAGTTTCTACCTTCAAGGAACATGCACTGTCATGGAAGGAATGATAGCAGCAAGGAACTCTTAATATGTTAACTTTTAGAGAATTACAACTGCAGATCTTTTGCAGTTTGATAATTTTGATAGATCATTTTGGATGGAGAGACTCAGGAAAAAGTTGGAGGTAATATTTGAGTTTTTATGTAGACTGGATTTCATTAAGTGAAATTATGAAAGTGGAGGGAGCTCTGTTCCAATTGAAGGAACTGGAGGTGAGGAGGCGAGAAAGTTATCTGGAAACCATGGATATGCTTAGGAAAGTATAGGGAAATAAGGCAGAAGAGACAGGTTTGGTCCTTAGAAAGAAAGCAGTGACCTCTAGGCTGAGTTTGACTTAATGCATTTGGTCATGAGAAGCTATTGATGACTTTCATGATGTTTAAGAAGATGGTCCAGGGGAGACTACTAGTGAAGCCATTGTAGTAGAGTGGATAAGAGGACAGGGAGATCCTGAATTAGATAATTTAAAAAATATATATATATATATTATTGATTTTTTACAGAGAGGAAGGGAGAGAGATAGAGAGCCAGAAACGTTGATGAGAGAGAAACATAGACCAGCCGCCTCCTGCACACCCCCCACCGGGGATGTGCCCGCAACCAATGTACATGCCCTTGACCGGAATCGAACCTGGGACCTTTCAGTCTAAAGACCGACGCTCTACCACTGAGCCAAACCGGTTTCGGCTATAGATGATTTTTATGTGGTTGGATGAGAGGGTCAAGAGGAGTAGTAATGAAATAATGAATTAAAATTTTCAAGTTCAAGTTGCTTGGAAGTTGCTGAATTAGTACCTAAAATAGGAAAGTCGGAAGGAACATGTTTGGATGAAAAGATGATGTGTTAGGTTTAGGAAGTGTTCATTTTGAGGTAATCCCAAAATAATGATGTTTCCAAAGAAATGGATAGAAAAAGTAGTAAAAAGAAAGTTGAGGACAGAACCTTTTGAACCAAGGGAGGAACATTTTCAGTAAAAATAATTTGCAGTTACTGAGTGCCTATTGTGCACCAGACACTGCTCAGTCAGCCCTTTTGTTCATTAGTTCATTTAAACTTTACACTGACCTCTAATAAGTATGCTGTTCTCCCTATTTTCTAAGAAGTAAATGAAGTTTAGAAAGATTAAGCTACTTGCCTGAAGTCACACAGCTAAAAAGGGACAGTCCTTTGACTCAAACTCAAGTCTGTTTGATTTCAGAGTCCATGCTCGCAACTACAAAGCAATATTTTTTAAAAGGGTAATCAACACTGACAAACTAAGCATACAAAGGAAGAAGTGATTTATTGGATAATAGATAGGAACCCAAAAGAGCAATGGAATTTATTAATTTGTATGTCTGATGACCAAGAGCAGATGTAGTAGAAGTCAGATAGTTAGCGATTATAAAATAAAATAAAATAAAATAAAATAAAATAAAATAAAAGTGAATATAAACAACTTTGTGTAGATTTGCAATAGTCCAGAAGGAGAAGTGAGACTGTCTATGAGGGAGAAGAGATTGCAGGTTGTTGGAAGGCTGTTTTAAAGTTTCAAGTTACTCTTAAATAGTTTTAGAACAGTGATATTGTCACCTATATTCATAAAATGTAATGTTATTTGGACATAAAAAAGAATGAAGTACTGACATATACCACAGCAAGTACTGAAAACATTATACTGAGTGGAAGAAGCCAGTCACAAAAGACCACATACTGTATGACTGCATTCATATGAATGTCCATAATAGGAAGGTCTATAGAATCAGAAAATAGGGTAGTGGTTGCTTTGGGGAGGACTGAGGTGGAGACAGGGGTGATAGCTAAAGGATATATGGTTCCTTCTTAAGTGATAAAAATGTACAATTGACTGGTGATGGTTGGGCCTATCTGTGAATATACTAGTCATTGAATGATACAGTTTATTTTTATTTATTTTTTAATGATACAGTTTAAATGACTCTATTGTATGGAATATGAATTATATCTCAATAAAATTATATTTTAAAATGTCACCTGTATCTATCATACTAACCCTATTACCATTTTTATTTTCTAGATCATTTTCTACTAGAGTCAAATTGGCCCAATTTGGAGTTTTATAGAAGAACATAAGTTTGAAGAAGTAAGGTAATCTTCTAAACAAGAGAATAAAAAGGGAAATGGCGCCCTAGCTGGTTTGGCTCAGTGGATAAAGTGTCAGGACTGAAGAGTCCCGGGTTTGATTCCAGGTCAGGGCACGTATCCGGGTTGCAGGCTCGGATCCCCAGTAGGGGGCCTGAAGGAGGCAGCTGATCAATAATTCTCTTTCATCATTGATGTTTCTATCTCTCCTTCTCCTTTCCTCTCTGAAATCAATAAAAATATATTTTTAAAAAGGGAAGAGGGTGCCACTGGCTGGTTTGACAGTGGATGGAACATTGGCCTGTGGACTGAAAGGTCCCAGGTTCAATTCTGGTCAAGGACACATGCTTGAGTTGTGGGCTCAGTCCCCAGTGTGGGGCATGCAGAAGGCAGTCTGTTAATGGCTCTCTCTCATCATTGATGTTTCTGTCTCTCTCTCCCTCTCTGAAATCAATAAAAAAATATTTTTTTTTAAAAGGATGAAGGCATGTTTGGAGGGTTGGCGGGTAGAAGAAAGCAGATGGGATGACAAAAGCAGATAGACATTTTCTATCTGGATAGTAGAAAAAAATATTTTGAATAGTCAAATTTATATTGAGGTTTAAGATTATTTATTTATTTTTAAAAATGTGTTGAGCCCTGGCCAGGTGGCTCAATTGATTGGAGCATTGTCCCATATACCAAAAGTCTGTGGGTTTGATTCCCAGCCAGAGCACATACCTAGGTTGCAGGTTTGATCCCTGGTTAGGGTGTGTATGGAAGGCAAACGATTGATGTTTCTCTCTCTCTGCCTTCCTTCCTCTCCCTCTCAAAGAAGCAATAAAAATGTATCCTCAGGTAATGATAAAAAAAAAAAAATGTATTGAGCATTTACTATGAACTAGGCACTATTTTAGTTAGTAGGGGTGCAACAGTGAACATAATAGAAAAAAAATGCCTGCATGTCCTGGCCAGTTTGGCTCATGGTTAATGTGTTTGCCTGTGGCTGAAGGAAGGGTCCATAGTTCAATTCCTGGTCAAGGGCCTGTACTTCAGTTACATATTTGACCCCCACCCTAATTTGGGGCTCTTGGCAGAGGCAACCCATTGATATCTATCTCACATCAATGTTTCTCTCTCCCTCTTTCCCTTCTACTCTCTCTAAAAGTCAGTGGAAAAAATATCCTCAGGTGAGGTGTTTTTTTTTTTAAATGCCTACCCTTAGTGAGTTTGCACATTCCAGTGTGGGGAGTCAATAAATAAAAATGTCAGATGGTGATAAGTGTTGTGGAAAAATGAAAATTGAGAAGGTGAGTGAGGGAATGTGGGAGTGTCAAGGAGGACTTCACCAAGAAGGCGACATTCAAGCCCTGAAGGAGGGGACAGAGCCATGGAGATAGATGGGAAAAGCGTATCACAGACAGAACTGCAAGTGCAGGAGCTCTGAAGTAGTTCTCCTGGTATGTTTCAAGAACAGCAAAGAGGCCAGTGTTGTTGGAGCTGTGAGCAAGAGGGGGAATAGTAGAGAGGTTACAGAAGTAATGAGATAGCTGGACCCATGGAGGACCTTATAGGCCATCTTAAAGAACTTGGCTCTCAGAGTAAAATGAAAAGTTATTGGAGGCTTTTGAGCAAAGGAGGTTTGTGTTTTGACATATTTTAAGTACTCACTTTGCTGTGATGAGAAGATACTGCAGGGGATGGAATTGAAAGTGGAAGTACCCAGGCAAGAGATTATAGTAGGTTGGACTAGGGCATGATTAAAATCTGAGTGGTTGGCCCAACCAGCGTGGTTCAGTGATTGAGTATTGGCCTATGAACCAGGAGGTCACGGTTCAATCCCCACTCAAGGTACAGGCCCAGGTTGCAGGCTCGATCCCCTGCAGGGGCATGCAGGAGGCAGCTGATCAATAATTATCTCATCATTGATGTTTCTGTCTCCCTTTCCCTTCCTCTCTGAAATCAATTTTAAAAATATTTTTAAAAATAAGTAAAATCTGAGTGGTTGTCAGATTTTAGATATGGTGGTGATAGTCATTAGGATTTGCTGACAGGTTGAGTATCCTACATAATAAAAGGGTAATAGACAAATTGTCCCCTCCACTGGGAATTCAACTGTGAGTTCGACCAAGGGGTGGAGCTGGCCGGCCCTGCCCCCAATCGGCCCTTCCACCCCAATCGGGGGTGGGGCCAGCCCACCAACCACTTCCCCTAGCCACCCATAGCCCCTCCCCCTGGCTGGCCTGGCCCAATTGGTCCTGATCGGGGCAGGCCAGCTGGAACCCACTCACGCATGAATTCGTGCACTGGGCCTCTAGTAACATATAAGAAAGAGAGGAGTAAAATTTCTCTAAGTTTGTTGTCCTAAACAACTGATGGAATAGTATTAATCATTACTGGGATGTAGAAGACTGAGAAAAGGTCAGGTTTGGTGGTAGGAGATATATATCAGGAGCTTAGCTTTGGACTTAAGCTTGTGAGACCTGTTAGGCATCCACATGAAGATATGAAGTGGGTGGTCAGATATGTGTGAATTGATTGGAAGGTAGAGAAAGGACTCGAGGTGTACACTTGAAAACTATGAGATTTCATGAGGTCACCAAGGCAATCCTATATAATAAATGCCTAATTAATATGCCCAATTGTCCAACCGTTTGTCTGTGCGACTAGTCGCTATGATGCGCACTGACCACCAGGGGGCAGATGCTCCGACTGGTTGATTAGCTTGCTGCTGGGGTCTGGCCGATCAGGATTGGGCGAGCCAGGCCTGAAACGCCCTGGAGCCCTCCTGCGGTTCCTCCCTTCCCCAATCATGCATCCCTGGGGTCCCTCGGCCTGGCCTGTGCCCTCTTTCAATCCTGGATCCCTTGGGGGATGCCAGAAAGCTGTTTTCAGCCTGATTCCCACAGGTCAGCCTGAGGGACCCCACTGGTGCACTAATCCATGCACCAGGTCTCTAGTATAATAAATATAGATAAAGACAAGGAAGAATTATCAGTGACTAAAAATTAATGTCTTGTGAAGAAGGTGGAGAATCAGGAACATGTGGTGTCTAGAAGCCAACGAAAAAATGGTTTCAATGACTATGGGAAAGCACTTGAGTTCGTAACAGGAAAATGTTATAGAATTAACAATAATGATTATCTCTTCACTCTTGTTCACAAAAATCTTCCCCAAAGGACTGAAGATTGTAAGCAGATATATACTAGGTAGAACATAAGAACAGGACATGACATCATCTTTTTCTTTTTTCTTTTTTCTTTTTTTGCCTTTAATATATTTTCATTGAAAGGGGGAGGGGGAGAGAGAATCATCAGTGAGACAGAGAAGCATCAATCAGTTGCCTTCTGCACCCTAACTGGGAATCAAATCTGCAACCTGGGTATGTGCCCAGACTGGGAATCAAAACAGCAACCTCTTGGTGCATGGGTCAGTGCTTAATCACTGAGCAACACTGGCTAGAGATACATCATCTCTTGACTGGCTCAAAATCATAATGGATTGATAAAGCATGCTTGATAAGAAAGCTTTCCCCAAAGCTAATTAAAAAAAAAATTCTCCTCCCCTTTTCTCCCCTACTCTCTCTCTTCCCCTTGTCTCCTCCCCCTCTTTTCCTTCTCCCTCCCTCACCTTAGTATTCCTTTCCTGAGGTTTTTCTTCCTGTAAATCTCTGTGATAAGATTGTTCAAAGTAGAGGAATTTAGGATCTATCTTCACAGCAGCCCTCCTCTCAGCAGCACTCGGTGCCTTTTCCTTCCTCCGCTTCTTCCAAGGGCTCTTTTGCTTCTGTAACTTGTTTTCTGAGCCTTCACAGCTGGCTCATTTCTGCTACCCTGTAACTTTCTAAATAAACTTTCTCTAAGGAAAGAAAAAGATCTATCATCAATTGGAATGGGGATAATGAATGAACCTTTCAAAGCTTATAAGTAATATATTTTCTTTCTCTAAGCTAAAACAATAGCTATAGCACACACTAAATAAAGATAATATCAATAGCCTGGCTGGTGTGGCTTAGTGGTTGAGCATCAACCTATGAACCAGGAGGTCAGGGTTCGATTCCCGGTCATGGCACATGCAACCCCTCACTAGGGTTGTGGGCTTAATCCCCAGTGAGGGGTGGGCAGGAGGCAGCCAATTCATGATTTTCTCTCATCATGGATGTTTCTCTCTCCCTCCTCCCTTCCTCTCTGAAATAAAAATATATTTTTTAAAAAGATAATATCAGTAGCTTTGTATTTATCTTAAATTTAACATAATGGGTCTTAATTTCCACTTACTATCTCCTGCTTATTCTAAATTTTTTGCATCTCCCTCTCATAATTTCAGCAGAAGGATTGTAAGTTTGTTTTACATTGTTGCAGATAACCTTCGTACCTAAGAGTGTTTTCTTTTTGTGTTTATTCATTTAAAGTATTAAATGCCATTCTGATTTTATTTGAAAATAATAATAATAAAGAATTCCTTATGAAAATGCAAGAGTCATAGAACTCCAGGATTCAGAACTACTTTAAAGAATAGCACTACATTTTATTTATTTCTTTTTTAAATATATTTTATTGATTTTTTACAGAAAGGAAGAGAGAGGGATAGAGAGTTAGAAACATCGATGAGAGAGAATCATCGATCAGCTGTCTCTTGCACACCCCCTACTGGGGATGTGCCCGCAACCAAGGTAAATGCCCTTGACCGGAATCGAACCTGGGACCCTTCAGTCCGCAGGCTGACGCTCTATCCACTGAGCCAAACTGGTTTCGGCAATAGTACTACATTTTAAAACATCACATTCTGCCGAGACCGGTTTGGCTCAATGGATAGAGCGTCGGCTTGGGGACTGAAGGGACCCGGGTTCGATTCCTGTCAAGGGCATGTACCTTAGTTGCGGGCATATCCCCAGTAGGGGGTGTGCAAGAGGCAGCTGATCAATGACTCTCTCTCATTGATGTTTCTAACTATCTCTCTCACTTCCTCTCTGTACAAAATCAATAAAATATATTAAAAAAATAAATAAATAAAAATTAAAAAATAAAATAAAATAAATAAAACATCACATTCTACCAGCAGGCATGTGTAATGTTGGAGAGGGAACCAGTCTGTGTGTTCGATACTGTTTTGTTCTGTTCCTGCCCTCTCATTCTGAATTTTTATGTATTTGACAGGTGTGAAAAGGACAGCATGAACTTTACCCCCACATGTACCCCTGTCTGCAGAAAGTAAGGCACTTGCTTATTTTTTGAGTTGTTAAAGAATCAAGACTGTCCCGACATTGTGGCTCAATGGTCAACATAGGAACCAGGAGATCATGGCCCACTTCCCGATCAGGGCAAATTCCTGGGTTGTAGGTTTGATCCCCAGTGTGCAAGAGGCAACCAATCAATAATTCTCTCTCTCATTCCATATCTCTCTCCCTCTCTGTTTCTCTTTAAAATCAGTAAATATATATAATAGTGCATATGAAATGATAATACCAGAATCCAGACAATTTGAGTGGCCCTTGTAGGTACCAGTGCCTCTTGGATTACAGAAGAAACAGCCAACATATACAGGGGACTTGGAATTCTGGTTCTGCCATCACCTTGTGCATGACACATTTCCTCATCCTCACTGCCACAATCTCATCTGCAAAATCTCAGAAATGCCTTCGTTCATCTGTTAAGCTGTTCCCCAGAGTAGTTATAAGACAGCTGCCTTGGAAACATGAAGCATCAAGTAAAAGACTATTTCTGTCACTAGCTTTTTTTTTTTTTTTTTTAAGATTTTAAAAATTGATTTTGAGGGAGAAGGGAAGGACAGCATGAACTTTACCCCCACATGTACCCCTGTCTGCGAGAGATAAAAACATCAATCAACTGCTTCCTGCACATCCCTACTGGGGATGGAACCAAACCGGCAACCTTTCTGTGCACAGGACAGTACCCAACCAACTGAGCCACACTGGCCAGTGTTCTCAAGAGCTTTTAATGATTGAGATATAGTATTAGATTTTTTTCTTTTTAGTTGAAAGTAATTTTAATATCTCTTGTATACATGCTCACTTTTTAAAAGTGCTGACCGTGATCATTAACTACAACTCTGGACTTCTGGTATCAAGTTTCTTAACTCTGCTGTCTTTTTTCTTACCTTATAAATTACAGTCAGCCAAAATTGAATAATATTCACATGATGGTTTTTTCACTTCTGCATCATTTATTTTCTAACTTTCATTGTTTTAGCTTAAAAATGCTTCTTGTTCAACCTTTGGTTACCCTTAGAACTTGAATAGTCTTGGTCTGTGTCATTCAAATGTCCCCAGTGGTAGAGATTAGAATCTGATGTGGTTGTATGGTTAGAAACTTGGCTGTCTCTTAAATAATGTTACTCTGAACATTTTCTTACATGTCACCTTGTGCATATATGCATGAGTTTCTTCAAGAGGAATTGCAATTTTACTAGATTCTGCCAATTCATTTATCTGTAGTTTCACCAAGTTGCACTTCACCAGCAGTATATAATTATTCCTGTTAGTGTATATCTTACAGCATTAAATTTCTAACTGTTACTACCTGGTCTTTATATTCCATTTTTTAAAAATGGATTTTAAAAATTCATTAATTATACACACTTTAAGAACATAAACCTGTTTTTTTGTTTAAGAAATTGTTTTATATGTTTAAACAGTTTAATAAATATGTCCTTTCTAATTTCACATAGGCCGAGAACTCTTCCCAAGCATGGTGCTGCGTGTGGCTTCAGTGATTCTACCAGGTGGAAGGGAGTGTCTTTCTCAGATTCAGTGGAGTCAACTCCTTTGCCTTCCATCGAAGATCGCCTGGCTCTTCTTTGCCCTTCTCAGGAGCTTCTGGAATATTATCAAAAGAAGATGTCTGAATGTGAGGCAGAAAATGAGGACCTACTGAAGAAACTGGAGCTGTACAAAGAAGCTTGTGAAGGACAGGTGAAAAAAAGATGATACATTTCCTTTTAGGACTCTGCTGAAGTGTAGTTATGACTGAGAGAAGATCTAGAACTGACAGCTTGTATCACAAACAGATATTTTTCAATTCCCTTCTACCCCAGCCTCCCTACCTACCCTTTGGGTCCCTCGTTAGACCATAATTCCCAAAACTGCTCCACCTCTAAAATCTTAAACTTTTATGTCTCGATCTCTCTTATATTTCTAGTTCTTTGAGCCCTGAACACCTGACTTTATTATTATCTCCCTGGCTCCTTGACTTTTCAGTCTTCCAAATGTTGCATGTCAGTTTCTAACATCATGTCCTCCTAACCTGAACCCTGTCACACTTCACTTTGGTAATAACTGTACTGCTTGCACAGGACCCCTTGCTTATTCTTTTGCTCCACAAAACTCTATCGATAGTTATAATTGAATCCTAGTCTCCTGGAGCAGGGTTTGTCAGCCTTGGCACTATTAACATTTTGGCATTGGTAATTCTTTTCTTTTCTTTTCTTTTTTTTTAAATATATTTTATTGATTTTTCACAGAGAGGAAAGGAGAGGGATAGTTAGAAACATCGATGAGAGAGAATCATCGACCAGCTGCCTCCTGCACACCCCCCACTAGGGATGTGCCCGCAACCAAGGTACATGCCCTTGACTGGAATCGAACCTGGGACCATTCAGTCTGCAGGCCGATGCTCTATCCACTGAGCCACACCGGCTTCGGCACATTGGTAATTCTTTACCGTGGGTCTATCCTATGAATTGTAGGATGTTTTTTAGCATCTTGGCCTCAGCTTACTAGATACCAGTAGCACACATACATACACACACACATACACCCTCACCACACCCCCAGTTGTGACCATCAAAAGTGCCTGCAGACATTGCCAAATTTCTCCTGGGGCACAGGAAGAATTGCCTCTAGTTAAGAATCACTGTCTTAGAAAAGGTCACAAATTGTTACAAAATAAATTCATGGTAAACAAATTAATCTGTATTCTCATTCACTCTACAGTAGGGGTGTCGAACTCAATCAGAGAAGGGGCCAAAATCTAAAATCCAGCCTAAATCGCAGGCCCAATGGTTTACTGAACAGTCATAAACTGTCATTGTGATGGAAACGCAGCGGAGTGCAGTGATGACAGCGTGGTGCGGGCCACATTGCAAGGCCTGGCGGGACAGATTTGGCCCGCGGGCCTTGTGTTTGACACATGTGCTCTACAGCATTTTTCTTACCTATCCCTAGTCAGTTCTCTCTCCCTCCACACCTGTGCTGTTGTAACTTCTCTACTCTCTTCCAGCCTGTAACCCCATCTTAGCTGTCTCTTCTCAGGCAGTCTTGCTTCCTGGTTCACAGAGGAAAAACCAGCTGTCATGAGTGACTCCTTCCCACTTATTCACAATGTTACCTACCTGTGTCCATCTCTCTTCTTTCTTATTACTTCAGGGACAAGATATCTCTACCTCTTTGAGCTGAATTGATTCAACACTCTCCCTGGCCCACATCCCTTTTTCTTCCTAATAAACCCTTCATCATCTCTCTTCTCTTTGTGTTTTATTGTTAACCTTTTGCTTAACATGGGCTTTTTTTCTCCAGTACTGTATATAAACATACTCACATCTTTCCCAACTTAAAACAACAACAACAAAAACCACACCATTTTTTTTTTTCTAGAAGGATTGGCTTTTGAGCTGGGCCATAACGTGGAGATCTAGAATTTGTAGAATAAATACCATTCTTGAGCTGTGCTGCTGCTTCTAACTATTCTCTTGTGTAGATAGAGCTCTTTCTTTTCTTAGTCCCACTACTTCTGGAATAGTTTGACTTTATCGCCCACTCAGGACTCTGTGCTGTAGTTTTGTCTCTCCTTACTGTTCCACTAAAACTACTCTTGTGATCTCTAATACCCATTTGCCAAAATGATCTCTTCTCTTTGTGATCTCTGTAGTATCTGTCACTACTGACCTCTGCTTTCTGAAAACTCTTCCTTTTTTGATTTCTGTGTCATTTTTCTTTTTCAGTTTTTCTTTTCCAGTTTTTATCTCAGCTCTCAACTCTCTTAATGGTTCCCTTTCCTTAATCTTAAAAGTCAACGTCTTTGTACTTTCCACCATAAATGGTCTTATTTTTATCCATACCACCTCATATGGAATGATAACATCCAGATAGTTAATGTTGAGTCTTTTCTCCTGAACTCCATATTAATGGGTTTATATCTGAACTAATCTCCCTTTCAACTCTATCCACACATCCACATATACCCCTACAATTTTCTTTCCCTCCATTTCTTATCTCTTAACTTTTTTCTTTATTCTGTGTCTTACTCAATGGTATAATTGCCTGTAATTATGCCCAGCCCCCGTATTCAATTATTTAGTAAGTTCTGATTCTGCTTCCTAAATATCCCTTAATCCATTAAATCTTCATCATATTGCCTCAACCCTAGTTAAAACTCTCATTATAACTCACCCGCATTATTGCAATATCCTCTTTAACCAGTATTCTAGCCTCCAGTCTCATACTTATTCAGTCTGCCTCTCACTTTTCACTTTAGTAACATTGAAATACTTGTAGTTGTCCAAACATTAAAGACTTTTTGATGGTTCAGTATTTACTGTTCTCTTTCCTGAGAGTACCCATCCTCATCTTGGCTCTAGCAAGCTTCATCTTTCAAGTTTCTATCTTTTTTTTTTTTTAAATTTTATTTATTTATTTATTTTAATATATTTTATTGATTTTTTACAGAGAGGAAGGGAGAGAGATAGAGAGCTAGAAACATCGATGAGAGAGAAACATCGACCAGCTGCCTCCTGCACACCCCCTATCGGGGATGTGCTTGCAACCAATGTACATGCCCTTAACCGGAATCGAACCTGGAACCCTTCAGTCCGCAGACTGACGCTCTACCACTGAGCCAAACCAGTTTCAGCTCTACCTTTTTTTTAATCCTCATCAAAGGATATATTTCTTACTGATTTTAATGAGAGAGAGAAAGAGATAAACACTCATGAGAAACATTGATTTGTTGCATCCCATATGTACTCTGACTGGGAATTGAACCCACAACCTAGGTATGTGCCCTGTGCCTTGTGCCCTGACCAGGAATCAAATCTGCAACCTTTTAGTATATGGAATGATGCCCCAACCAGCTGACCCAGTCAGCCAGGGCCAAGTTTCAACTTTTTTATGGTGGTCTCTAACTTTCCAAAAAGGCTTCAGAGATTTTACTCCTTCTGTACTTTCCCCCTCTATCATTTTACCAGGCATATTCCTCCATTAAATAATTATTTTATTTGCATGCCTGTCTCTTCACAAAATTCCTCAGCTCTAGGCAGGAAACATACCATTTCATCTTTGTGTTCCATAATTTCATAATGCTTATGGAATAGAAAGCATTTTTTAAAAATTGTGAATAGAACAGGTGAGTCATCTGGCATTCTGGATTTTATAGTCTGTAAAAGGAAGATATGAAAGCTTTGACATTATATGCAAACATCATACTCACCCTGTAGCTTTTAAACTCAAGTCATTATACAACTTATTATTACTGTTATTTGAAGTCTGTATTGGTGAAAATATTCACATGGTAATATTTCTACAAAAACTCACTTTTCCATGTCCAATAAGAGATATTCCTGTGAGGCTCAATCTTTTCAACTACTTTTTTCCCCCCAGCGCAAAATAGAATGGGATTTGCAGCAGAGGGAAGAAGAGATTGCTGAATTGCAGAAAGCTCTAAGTGATATGCAAGTCTGCCTCTTCCAGGAACGGGAACATGTTTTGCGCCTCTACTCAGAAAATGATCGATTGAGAATCAGGTACCAAGTAGGAGAAGGGAAATGTGAGAGTTATATTTCTAAATTAAGATAAGTTTCTCTGTGGTAATCCTGTTAGGTTGTATTTCCCAGGAAAAAGACTCTGAGATGGAGATTTGCCTGCAGGACTGAAAGTAGGGAGGCTCTCAAGAATGACATATGTAGCCGAAACCGGTTTAGCTCAGTGGATAGAGCGTCGGCTTGGGGACTGAAGGGTCCTGGGTTCAATTCTGGTCAAGGGCATGTACCTTGGTTGCGGGCACATCCCCAGAAGGGGCTGTGCAAGAGGCAGCTGATCGTTGACTCTCTCTCATTGATGTTTCTAACTTGCTATCTCTCTCCCTTTCTCTCTGTACAAAATCAATAAAATATATTAAAGAAAAGAATGACATATGTAAAAAAAAGAATGACATATGTGAGGAGACTTGAGCAGGGGAAGAATTTGAACTGCGATACAGTGGTAACCAAAGCCAACCCTATAGGAAGCTCTGAGGCTGGGACAGCTTTTCAGAAGCAGAGGAATCAGACTTTTGTTCCTTCACAGCAATCATTCATTTCATGTAGCCTGCCACCAGAGAGGAGGTGTAAACTTGAGAGAGGCAGCCCCCTTCAGCCAAAGGAAATTCCTGGAGAAGGACTCAAAAACTGAAGGTTAGGGGTCTTGATCCTAAAGGTGGTATCTGAGCAGTGTCCACAGCATCCATTATAGTACACTTCTAAAAAATAATAATTTTGTACTTTTCAGTTGCAGTTGATATACAGTATCATTAGTTTCATGTGTACAACCCAATGATTAGACATTTATATAACTTACACAGTGATCACCCCAATAAAATAGTACCCACCTGGCACCATACATAATTATACAATATTATTGACTATAATCCCTATACTGTACATTATATACCATAACTGTTCTGTACCTACCAATGTGTACTTCTTTTTTAAAAAAAATATATTTTATTGATTTTTTTACAGAGAGGAAGGGAGAGAGATAGAGAGCTAGAAACATCGATAAGAAAGAAACATCCCTACCGAGGATGTGCCTGCAACCAACGTACATGCCCCTGAACGGAATTGAACCTGGGACCTTTCCATCCGCAGACCAACGCTCTATCCACTGAGCCAAACCAGCTTCGGCTCAATGTGTACTTCTTAATCCCTTTGTTTTTCACCCATTCCCCAAACTCCCATCTGGCAACCATCAAAATATTTTCTTATCTGTGAGTCTGTTCCTATTCTGCTTCTTTGTTTATTCTTTTGATTCCACATGTAAGTGAAATCATATGGCTTTTTTTTTTCTCTGTATGATTTATTTTGCTAAGCACAGTACCCTGAAGGTCCATCCATGTTGCTGCAGATGACAAAGTTTCATTATTTTTTATGGCTGAGTCATATTCCATTGTATATTGCAACATTTGTTTATCCATTCATCTATGATGGATATTTAGGTTGCTCCCATATCTTGGCTATCACAAATATGCTGCAATGGAACATATGGATGCATATGTCTTTGTCTTTATTTTGTTTTTAATCTTTATTGTTGAGAGAATTATAGATGTCTTCCTTTCCTTCCCTACGCCTATGCCCCCCTCCACCCGTCTGCCACACCCCGAGTCTTCATCACCTTATTGTCTGTGTCCATAGGTAATGCGTAGATACCTATAAGTTATTTGGGTAATCTCTTCGTGCCTCCCTTCCCTCTGAGATTTGTCAGTCTTTTCTATGTTTTCATGCCTCTGGTTATATTTTATTCATCAGTTTATTTTGTTCATTAGATTCATTGTTTATTTTGATTTTTTAAAATTTCTTTATTGATTAAGGTATCACATAATTGTCTTCATCCCTCCCATTCCCATCCCGCACCACTCCCCACTCATGCCCCCACCCCCCTGTTGTCCTTGACCAACTGGTTAGGCTCATATATTTGATTTTTAGGTTTAATTTTTTTAAATACATTTTTATTGATTTCAGAGACGAAGGGAGAGGGAGAGAGAGATAGAAACATCAGTGATGAGAGAGAATCATTGATTGACTGCCTCCCACACGCCCCCCACTGGGGATCCAACTTGGGGCCCTTCAGTACACAGGCTGATGCTCTATCCACTGAGCCAAACCAACTAGGGCTAAATTCAATTTTTTTAAAGATCTGACAGTTTATTATATTAAAATTTTGATTTAGTCCCAGCCACTTGAAGCCACTTAACTTGCTTGCTTTCTTTCTTTTTTTTTTTTTTTAAATATATTTTTATTGATTTTACACGGAGATGAATTGAGAGGGATAGAGAGTTAGAAATGTCGATGAGAGAGAAACATCAACCAGCTGCCTTTTGCACACCCCCCACTGGGGATGTGCCCGCAACCAAGGTACATGCCCTTGACCGGAATCGAACCCGGGACATTTCAGTCCGTAGTCCGATGCTCTATCCACTGAGCCAAACCGGTTTCGGCTCTTTCTTTTTTTTTCTTTTTTCTTTTTTTTTTTTTTTTTTTTAATATATTTTTATTGGTTTCAGAGAGGAAGGGAGAGGAAAAGGGAGATAGAGAAATATCAATGATGAGAGAGAATCATTAATTGGCTGCCTCCTGCACAATCCCCTACTGGGGATCGAACCCGCAACCCAGGCATGTACCCTTGACTGGAATCGAACCTGGGACCCTTCGATCTACAGACCAATGCTTTATCCACTGATCCAAACCAGCCAGGGCTAGATTCAAATTTTGATAGATATGTATTTATTGCCATGTTATTGTTCTATTTTTTATCTCCTCCTCCCCTTCCTCCTCTTTCCTCCTCCTTTTTCTTCTTCACTTCCTCTTGTCCTCCTCTTTCTGCTCCCTTCTTCCTCCTCCCCTCCTTGTTTTTCTCCTTCTCCTCTTCCTCCTCCTCCACCTTTCAACATTTCATGTAATACCCTGTTTCCCTGAAAATAAGACAGTGTCTTATATTAATTTTTGCTTCCAAAGATGTGCTAGGTCTTATTTTCAGGGGATGTCTTATTTTTCCATGAAGAAGAATATGGTACACATTTATTGTTAGATGAAAATAAAGGAAATTTATTACCTGTATACGGTATGGTAGTACGGTAGTTGTCAACACAAACCAGACAAACTGTGAATCCTACAGTATCAAGAATTTACTCATTTATTCAATGACAATCATGTCATCATCTTCTGGAACATCATCGTAACAATCCAATTCCTGAATTTCCTGGTGAATTTCTTGTGACTCCATTTCTTTCAAAAATCAGTGGACCAAATCTCTTATGTTTAGCCTAGGGGGAGCCTTATTTTCAGGGGGATGCCTTATATTTCACTCAGAAGGAAACCTGTAAGTAGGAAACCTTATTTTCCGAGGATGTCTTATTTTCGGGGAAACATGGTACTGGTTTGGTGGTGATGAACTTCTTTAGTTTTTTCTTGTCTGTGAAGCTCTTTATCTGACCTTTAATTCCGAATGATAGCTTTGCTGAGTAGAGTAATCTTGGTTGTAGGTCCTTGCTAGTCTTCACTTTGAATAGTGTCCTTGCCACTTCCTTCTGGCCTGCAAGGTTTCTGTTGAGAAATCAGCTGACATTCTTATGGGTGTTCCCTTGCTTTTCTCTTGCTGCTTTTAAGATTCTCTCTTTAGCTTTTACCTTTATCATTTAAATTATAATATGTCTTGGTGTGGGCCTCTGTGGGTTCATCTTGTTTGGGACTCTCTGCGCTTCCTTAACTTGTATATCTATTTCTTTCACCAGGTAAGGGAAGTTTTCTGTCATTATTTCTTCAAATAGGTTTTCAACTTCTTGCTCCCTCTCTTCTCTTTTTGATAGCCCTGTCATGTGAATAGTTTGCTTGAAGTTGTCCCAGTGGCTCCTTAGTCTTCATATTTTTGGATTCTTTTTTCTTTTTGCTATTCTGATCTTTGATTTGATTCTCGATATCCTCTACTCTGCTATTGATTCCTTCTAAGTTATTCTTAATTTCAGTTAGTGTATCCTTCATTAAAAAAAAAAATAAATCTAATGATTTTTTACAGAGAGGAAGAGAGAGGGATAGAGAGTTAGAAACATTGATGAGAGAGAATCATTGATCAACTGCCTCCTGCACATCCCCTTCTGGGGATGTGCCCGCAACCAAGATACATGCCCCTGACCGGAATCGAACCTGTGTGCAGGCCGACGCTCTATCCACTGAGCCAAACCAGTTTTGATAACTAACTTGTCATTTTTTATGTTGATGTTCTCACTAAGTTCTTTGAAGTGCTCACTTAGTTCCTTGAAGTTCTCATTAAGTTCCTTGAGCATCCTTATAATCATTGTTTTGAACTCTGTATGTGATAGTTTTCTTGCTTCCATTTCTTTTAATTCTTTTTCTGGAGATTTCTCCTGTTCTTTCATTTTTTAAATGTTTTTTTGTCCCCACATTTTGGCTGCTTCCCTATGTTTGTTTCTATGTATTAGGTAGAGCTGCTATGTCTCCTGGAATTTGTAGAGTGGCCTTGTATAGTAGGAGTCCTGTAGGGCCCAGTAGTCTCAGCCTCCCAACCTGAGGTGGGCACTCTAGGTGTGCCCCTGTGTTGGCTTTGTGCACAGTCTTGTTGTAGTTGAGCCTTGATTGGTGTTGGCATCACTGGGAGCATTGACCCTTAGGCCGATTGACTTTGAGAACCTCGGTCTGGCCTGTGGGGATTGGGCTGAAACTGGCAGTCTGACATGCCCCCAGGGGTCCTGGATTGCGAGAGGGTACAGGCCAGGCTGAAGGACCCCACCAGTGCACGAATCTGTGCATCAGGCCTCTAGTCTGATATATACTGTTTTAGGTTGGATTCCGTGGAAAACATACTCTGCAATGTAAATTTACTTGCAGGAGGTTTATTGGGGAAGGTTTTCAGGAATAACTACTTATGAGGGAATAAGAAAAGTTTGATTGGGCAGAAGTTGAACTGAGGTTTAATTACAGCTGGACTCAGCCAGTGTCACAGGATGTCTCAATAACCTGAATTGAGCCAAGGGGATTGGGCTTTTGTATCCTTCCTTAGCCAGGCACTGGCTGCGGACTACTCTTTGGCTGAGGCAGTTTCCCTTAACTGATGTCAGTTCTGGAGAGAGATACAGCTACCTGCAGTGCTGCTGGTTAGTCGAGAGAATCTTATATACCAGCTAATATGCAAATTGTCCTCTCAACCAGGAGTTCAGCCAGGGGGCGGGCCAGCTAACCAACCTCTGCCTCCCCTCCTTTTTGCCAGCCGGGCACCTCATTAGCGCAGGCTGGCTAGACCCCACCCATGCATGAATTCGTGCACTGGGCCTCTAGTGAACTTACATCAGTTCTGAAAAGGAGTAATAAGCCTACCACCACTACAGTGCTTTTCTAGAACCAACTAAGAAATTAGTTTCTGGCCCCTTCTCTCTGAATCTCTAAGTATAAGTACCTGATGTTTTCAAAGTTATTGCTGAGGTCTAAATAAATCCTATTCAATTTTAGTTTGAGGTTACCATTATTTAAACAAGTAAGTCAGAAGGGAGATCTTTTTAAAAATTTTACTTAATCTGGACATAATGTGTGCTTATCTTTATGAGAATTACAGGGAGCTGGAAGACAAGAAAAAGATTCAGAATCTCTTGGCTCTTGTGGGAACAGACACTGGAGAAGTGACCTATTTTTATAAGGAGCCTCCCAACAAAGTAAGTAATCTTGGTATAGATAGCATGGTAGACATGGCTTTAACAAAATATGGTCTTGGATCCATAATCAGAGATATTTTGGCGCTTGCTAAAGAAGTTAGAAGGATAATTAGTTATCATACTCCCATGTCTACATAAGTTCTCAAAGCATTTTCTATAGTTACAAAACGCTTTTTGATTTTTATTCTTTTTCTTCAAATTTTTTGGAAAGTAGCATTATTTACCCATTTCACTACTTGGAAATCTACAGCACAGAGCAGTAGATGTTTTGGATGAGATTTGAAAGGAAAATTGGTTGTTTTGTGGTGGTTATTTTTTAATCCTCACTGAGGATATTTTTTAATTGATTTTTAGAGAGAATGGAAGAGAGGGGAAGAGACAGAGAGAAACATTGATGTGAGAAAGACACATCAATTGGTTGCCTTTCACATGCACCACTACCAGAGTCAGGGATTGAGCCTACATATGTATATGTCTATATTTCCATTACTTTCCTAAAGGCCTTTGTAAAGGCCACTTTTTAAAATATATATATTTATTTATTTATTTATTTATTTATTTATTTATTTATTTATTTATTGATATATATTTGAGCGGAATTGAATCTGGGACCCTTCAGGCCATAGGTTGATGCTCTATCCACTGAGCCAAACTGGTTAGGGCCAAAGACCACTTTTTAAAAAAATTTTTTTTATTGATTTCAGAGAGGAAGGGAGAGGGAGAGAGAGATAGGAACATCAGTGATGAGAGAGAATCATTGATCGGCTACCTCTTGCACAGCCCCCACTGGGACATGTGCCCTGACCAGGAATCAAACTGTGACCTCCTGTTTCCTAGGTTGATGCTCAACGACCTAGCCACACTAGCCAAGCAAAGACCATTTTTTTAAAAAGCAGATATTACTAAATTACCCTGAAGGTTTTCTTTTGTTTGTTTGTTGTTGTTTTTTTTTTCTTTCTTTCTTTTTAAATATATTTTATTGATTTTTTACAGAGAGGAAGGGAGAGAGATAGAGAGTTAGAAACGTCGATGGGAGAGTCGTCGATCAGCTGCCTCTTGCACGCCCCCTACTGGGGATGTGCCCGCAACCAAGGTACATGCCCTTGACGGGAATCAAACCCGGGGACCCTTCAGTCCGCAGGCTGATGCTCTATCCACTGAGCCAAATCGGTTTCAGCTCTTTTGTTTGTTTTTACTTTATATTACCAACACTGGGTTTTATTTAGTTTGTTACTTTGTCCAGTTTGATCTCATATGTGTGACATTCCCATATGAGTTTATCAATTTTGACCAATTTAATTTATGAATAGTGTTGATCTGTGGCATTAAAGCTCTAAAGTGAAACATCACATATATAGGAAGGCTATTTCTAAACTTTTTTTTTTTTTCAGGTCAGCGTTCTCCAAAAGACTATCCAGACTGTAGATATTTGTGTACAGAATGAATCTTCAGCTTTCAAAGCAGGTACCAACCATATTATAAATTCTCACTGGTGCAGAATTCAGAAACACAGTGCAAATAATTAGGATTTTTTTCTTACTATACAGAGATAAATGAATGTTTATAATGATATCTCTTGGTAAGTTTGAAGTTGTTTTGTTTGTTTGTTTGTTTTTTAACATTGTCTTTAATATATTTTATTGTTTTTTACAGAGAGGAAGGGAGAGAAATAGAGAGCTAGAAACATCAATGAGAGAGAAACATCGACCAGCTGCCTCTTGCACACCCCCTACCGGGGATGTGCCTGCAACCAATGTACATGCCCTTGACTGAAATCGAACCTGGGACCTTTCAGTCCGCAGATCGATGCTCTACCACTGAGCCAAACTGGCTTCGGCTTGAGGTTGTTTTTTTGTGTTGTTTTTTTTTTTCCCTTCCATGATGTTTTTGTTTGTTTAATTAGTTTTATTTATTGATTTTATTTTATTTTTAAATAATAAAAATTAAGTTTTATTTATTTTACTTTTTAAAAATATATTTTATTGATTTTTTACAAAGAGGAAGAGAGAGGAATAGAGAGTTAGAAACATCGATGAGAAACATCAATCAGCTGCCTCTTGCACACCCCCCCCTACTGGGGATGTACCCACAACCAAGGTACATGCCCTTGACTGGAATCGAACCTGGGACCTTTCAGTCCGCAGGCTGACGCTCTATCCACTGAGCCAAACTGGTTTTGGCAAGTTTTATTTTAAAAGGTAAAAACTTATACATCCTTATAAAAGAGGGGGTAACATTTTCACCAATGTAAAACACAGAATTCAAATCACAGTTTGGATCTTCAAGATTCAAGTATTGTATCCCATTAAGTAAAATGTGGTCAGTTTTAATATAGAAATGCCTTCTCTGGATATCCTGTTCTCAATCAGTGCTTTCTTTATCGCCATCATCTCACACAGTAGGATAGATGGCCGCGGTGGCGATTCCACAGTAGTTGTTACGGTCTTTGGCCATCTTTATGTAGCCCTTTTTGCCCCAAGCTTCACCCCAGCTGTTCTTGACAATCCAATATTTATTGTTCCTTGAGTCTTCTCCTTCACAGCCATAGCCAACCACCAGAATGCCATGACTTAGATCCACGCTGCTGCAGTGCCATTCTTAATAAATGCCATCTTCATAGAACTGGAAGCTAAGATGGCTTGCATCTATAGCAACAGAGATGGGCCCCGCAGTTGCCACTGCCTTCATGAGGGCACTCTCCTGCTCAGGGATGTCCACGGAGCCAGTGACATTGGCCACAGAATCCTCGGGCCTGTATTTGCAGGGTCCATCCTTTGCTTGATATGGTTAGGACTCTTCTGAGTCCAGGCCTTCGTTGGACTTCACATACTGGAAGGTATTATCCAGTAGGCCATCATTGCAGCCCTCATTGCCTTGAGCTTGAGAGCAGTCCACAAGGTTCTGCTCACTCAGTGAGATAAGTTTGCCAGTTTTCCCGAACATCTGTCCTTCAAGGGCACCAGTTGCACTAAATGCCCAACAAGAACCACAGTGACCCTGGTTCTTCACGGGGGTTACATAGCCTTCTTCCCTCCAATTCACGGCTGGGGGGATTTCAGCAGCGTAAGATTCCCAAAACACTTCCCTTCTCTTGTGCTTCAGGTTCTGATGGCTATTCATCACCTGCGTGAATTCTTCATTGGTCATGTCACCAAAAGCATTCATTGCCAAGGTGAAGGTCTGTCTCCCTAGGTTGTATTCTTGGTTGTGCAGGTCGATCATTTTCATATCCTTCTCCCTCACTGATCTCCTCCATCCTTCTCCATTCGAGCCATATAGTTTTCTGTGCGTTGCCTTCCACCGGTGCCAGCATGCCTCTAAACTTCCATCAAGTTTTGGAGCAGCTGAAGCTATTCCTAAGTAAAGGGCAATCAAGAAGAATGAAGGATTCATGTTACAACACCTTCAGGGGTGCGGCCAAGCAGGCGCTGTCTGCACGTGTGGGTCGTGGATCTCCGACCTATTTATTGATTTGAGAGAGAGGGGGGAAGGGAGAGAAATAGAGAAACATTGACCTGTTGTTCCACTTATTTATGCATTCATTGGTTGCTTCTTTCTTTGAATTTAATAAATCTTTATTGCTCAGATTATTACAATTGTTTCTCCCTTTTCTCCCATAGCTCCCTTCCACCCAGTTCCCACCCCACCCTCTGCCCTTACCTCCCCCCCACTATTGTCCTCATCTATAGGTGTACGATATTAGTCCAGTCTTTTCCTGCACCCCCCACACCTCTTTCCCCCTGATAATTATCAATCCACTCCCTTTCTTTGCCCCTGATTCTATTATATTCACTTCGTGAATATTCTGTTCCTCAGATTTTTAATTCACTTGATTTTTAGATTCACTGTTGTCTATTTGTTTATCATAATTTTTAATCTTTACTTTTCTTCTGCCTCTTCTTAAAGAATAATACTGGTTTGGTGGTAATAAACTCCTTTAGCTTTTTCTTATCTGTGAAACTCTTTATCTGACCTTCAATTCTGAATGATAGCTTTGCTGGGTAGAGTAATCTTGGTTGTAGGTTCTTGCTATTCATCACTGAATATTTCTTGCCACTCCCATCTGGCCTGTGTAGTTTCTGTTGAAAAATCAGCTGATAATTGTAGGGGTGCTCCCTTATAGGTAACTAACTGTTTTTCTCTTGCTGCTTGTAAGATTCTCTCTTTGTCTTTTGCCCTTGGCATTTTAATTATGATGTGTCTTGGTGTGGTCCTCTTTGGAGTCCTTTTGTTTGGGGTTCTGTGCACTTCCTGGACTTGTAAGTCTATTTCTTTCACCAGGTGGGGTAAGTTTTCTGACATTATTTCTTCAAATAGGTTTTCAGTATCTTGCTCTCTCTCTTTTTCTGGCATCTCCATAATTTGGATGTTGGTATGCTTGAAGTTGTCCCAGAGGCTCCTTACACTATCTTCAACTTTCTGGATTCTATTTTCTTCTTGCTTCTCTAGAGGAGTGTTCTTTGCCTCTCTGTACTCCAAATCTTTGACTTGATTCTTGTGTTTTTCTAGTCTGTTATTGGGTCTTTGGATAATATTATTTATTTCAGTCAGTGTATATTTAATTTCTTGTTGGTCCTTTTTCATATCCTCAAGGGTCTCGCTAAATTTATTGGCCTTTTCTAAGAAATTCTTGAAAAACCTTAAAACCATGGTTTTGAACTCTATATCCAGTCTTTTGTTCTCCTCCATTTCTTTTGTTTGAGATCTCTTTCCTTGTCTCGGCATTTTCGCTGCTTCCCTGAGTTGATAGGGTGGTTTTGTGTGCTAGGTGTCCTATATGGCCCCAGTTACCTGAGGTAGACACTTTTGGTGCTCCCCTTCGTGTATTGCGTGTACAGCCTTGTTGTACTTAAGTCTTGATTTTTGTTGGTATCACTGGGAGGAATTGACCTCCAGGCCAATTGGATGTGAGTATCAGCTGTGTCTACGCTGGGATACCTTTGGTATTGGAGACAATCTTATAGGATCAGACTTGCAAAATTTTTTTTTGCAAAAGCCTCTGCGCTCAGCTTGGATGGGGCGGAGTCTCAGGACTGAGCCTACAGTCTTGGCTTCCCATCAATCCTGCCCTTCTGTGTGCGCCTCAGACCTCTGCCTTCCACAGATCCCCTGTGCAGTCAGAACTGGAATTCAGTGCAGTCAGGAGCTTCCAACTCCTTTCACTATGGAGAGGCTGCTGCGGCAACCTCCCTGGTCAGATCTCTCTGTTCACACTCACTTGCCACTCTAGACCCTGCCCGCTTTGGCTCCCGCCTCCTTCTAGTCTCCCAGTCTCTGAGTCTCCAGGTGCCTTTCTCTACAGTCCAGACTCCATCCATATTAGCCTGGTCCACAGCGTTTTGGCCAGGGCTGGGGTTCAGTACAGTCGGAGCTGGGGTTCAGTGCAGTTGGGGGCTTCCTTTCCCCTTCCACAGCCAGGCATTCGGCTGCCTTTCCTCTCTGTGGGTGCGTCTCCTTACCTCAGCGCTTCACAGCTCCTCTGATCTGTGAGCCTCTCTCTTTTCTAGTTGTAGATTTCCCACTCAGCCAGCTTTCCTGTCATTTTGGATGATGTCCTTTCTGTCTTTTAGTTGTTTTGAGATTGTTGTGCACGGCTGCAGTTTATGTGCTTACCTAGGCTGCCATCTTGGTTTTCCTCCCGGATGCTGCTTATATGTGCCCAACTGGGGATTGAACCCACAACCTTGGCATATTGGGCCAACAGTGTAGCTGGTTTGGCTCAGTGGATAGAGCATCGGTCTGCAGACTGAAGGGTCCTATTCCAGCCAAGGGCACATGCCCAAATTTCAGGTTTGGTCCTCAGTATGGGCCTGCAGGAGGTAGCTCATCAGTGATTCTCTCTCATTATTAATGTTTCTATCTCGCTACCCTTCTCCCTTTCTCTCTGAAATTAATAAAGATATTTAAATATATCTATAAGTCTACATTAATAAAAGAGTAAGATGCAAATTGACCATACCTTTGCGATGCCCACCAGCCAATCAGGAGTAATTATGCAAATTAACCCAACAAATATGGTGATGATGCAGGCATTCCATATCTCCCTAGCTGCTCCAGTCCTCTGGGCAGCATGAGAATGCAGAAAGTTGGCTTTAGCCAGTGGGAAGGCAGTGCCAGCAGCCAAGGAAGGAATGCCCATTCTTGCATGAATCTTTGTAGATCGGACCTCTAGTGTGTGTGTGTGTGTGTGCGCGTGTGCGCCTATGGTGACAGGTTGTAAAACAGACTTGGAAAACTTATGGAAGCACAGAGTATTACTTAGCCCCTCTAAGCCCCAGTCATCTTATCTCTCTCTTTTAATGGAAATCTTAATTTTCTTTTTTTCACTGAAATACTAGAAGCCCAGTGCACGAATTTGTGTACAGGTGGGATCTAGCCAACCTGCCCCAATTTGGGCTGATTCAGCAGGGCTGGCCTGGGGGAGGAACTGTGGGTTGTTGGCCGACCTGCCCTTCTCCCAGTTGGGGGGCAAGTTGCTTGGGTATGGGGCCAGTTGGAGTGAGGGTCAGCAGAAAATTGGCTGGCCAGCCCTACCCCAGATCGGGATGGGGTGGCTTATCAGGGTCAGGGTCAGCTGGGAGGATGCAGGCAGTTGGCCAGCTGCCCCTGCCCCCTGATTAAACACCCAGTCAGCCGAAATCTCTTTGGCTCAGTGGCAGACTGCGGACTGAAAGGTCCCGGGTTAGATTCCGGTCAAGGGCATGTACGTTGGTTGCGGGCATATCCTCAGTGAGGGGTGTGCAGGAGGCGGCTGGTCGATGTTTCTCTCTCATCGATGTTTCTGGCTCTCTATCTCTCTCCCTTCCACTCTCTAAAAAAAAAAAAAATCAATAAAATATATTAAAAAACAAAACAAAAAAATACCACCCAGTCAAAGGGACAATTTGCATATTAGCCTTTTATTATGTAGGACTAGGGTTCCAGTGCACGAAATTAATGCATGTGGGGTGGTGTCCCTCAGCCTGACATGCACCCTCTCCAATCAAGGACCCCTCAATGGCAGTCGGACATCCCTCTCACAATCCAGGACCGCTGGCTCCTAACCACTTGCCTGCCGGATAACCCCTAACACCTCCCTGCCAGCCTTATGGCCCCCAACTGCCCTCCCCTGCCGACCTGATGGTCCTCAACTGCCCTCCCCTACTGGCTGATCGCCTTAACCACCTCTGCCTTGGCCCCCACCACCATGACTTTGTCTGGAAGGAAGTCGGACGTTCAGAAAATGGCCAGTCATTTGGTCTAATTAGCATTTTACCCTTTTATTAGTATAGATAATTGAAAATATAACATTATATCAGTTTCTGGTATACAGCATAATGGTTTGATATTTCTATCTATACTAATAAAAGGGTAATATGCAAATTGGTCATGACACCCTCACATTAACAACCAAACAGCAAGTTGCGTGGGGCAACCAGGCCAGCAGAGGGATTAGTGAGGGATGACCAAACGACTGGCCAGCAGGCTGTATGGGGCAACCAGGTCGGCAGGAGAGGGAAGTGAGAGGCGACCAGGCTGACAGAGGGGGGCAATGCAACCGGGCCAATGGGAGAGGCAGTTGGGGGTGATCAGGCTGGCAGGGGGAGCAGTTGGGGCAACCAGGCTAGCAGGAGAATACTAAGGGTGGGGGGGGGTGAGTAGGTCAGTGGGGGGGCAATTAAGGGTGATCAGGCTGGCAGGCAGAGATGGTTAGGGGTGATTGGGCTGACTTGGGTCAGTTAGGGGCAATCAGGCAGGCAGGCAGGTGAGCAGTTAGGAGGCAGCAGCCCCGGATTGTGAGAGAGATGTCCAACTGCCGGTTTGGGTCCGATCCCTGGGGTCAGGCCAAAACTGACAGTCAGACATTCCCTAAGGAGTCCTGGATTGGAGAGGGTCCAGGCTGGGCTGAGGGGACCTCCCCCTGTGCACGAATTTTGTGCACTGGCCCCTAGTATATTATAAGATCATTACAACAGTAAGTTTAGTTAACATCCATCATCACACATAGTTACATGTTTGTTTTTTTTCTTATGGTGAGTACCTTTAAGATTTATTCCCTTAGCATGAGCTTCTTGAATTATACAAGGAATTAAATTTTGTTCTGTACAATTTTAGTGTTGCTTTTTAAAATATCCTATATTAGAGGCCTGGTGCACAAATTCGCATGGGTGGGGTCCAGCTGGCCCGCACCAATGGGGGCCTGTCAGGCCCAACCAGCAAGGCCACAGGTAGTTGGTTGGCTGGCCATGCCCCCAATCGGGGTGTTGGGGATGGGGACCCAATCGGGGCCCAGATCAGGCTGGTTGTCTAACACAGTGCATGTCATAGCCACTGGTCATTCTGGTCATTCTGCCATTCCAATTGCTGGGTTTTTATATACATAGATATAGATAATGAAACCCTAATATGCAAATCGACCGAACAGCAGAACTAATGGTGGAACAATTAGTCGCTATGATGCGCACTGACCACCAGGAGCAAATGCTCAACACAGGAGCTGTCCCCTGGTGGTCAGTGTGGTCCCATAGCTGGAGAACCACTCAGGCAGAAGCCAGGCTCATTGCTGGCAAGTGCAGTGGCCGTGGTGGGAGCTTCTCCCACCTCCTCAGCAGCGCTAAGGAGCAGCAAGCAAAGTGGTAAGGAGAGAGCAGGTGGGAAATTAGGAGCAAAGGGTTCCAGATTGCAGTCGGACATCCCCTGAGGGGTTCCAGATTGCGAGAGGGAACAGGCTGGACTGAGGGTCCTCCCCCCCCTTGCATGAATTTCATGCATTGATCCTCTAGGATCTATAATAATAAAAAGCATAATACACTAATTAGACTGGACAGCTGAATGACCTTCTGGACGTCCTTCCCAATGAAGCCACAGCAGCAGAGACTGAGGCAAAGGCAGTTCGGGGAGATTAGGCAGGCAGGTGAGTAATTAGGGGCAATCAGGCAGGCAGGCAGAGGGGTTAGGGACAAGCAGGTGAGTGGTTAGGGGCGATCAGGCAGGTAGGAAGGTGGGCAGTTAGTAGCCAGTGGTCCCAGATTGCAAAAGGGTTCAGGCCGGGCTGAGAGGCACACACATGCCATCGCCCTGTGCATGAATTTTGTGCACCTGGCCTCTAATATATATGTATATATTCTTATTGATTTCAGAGAGGAAGGGAGAGGGAGAGAGAGATAGAAACATCAATGATCAGTAAGAATCATTGATGGGCTACCTCCTGCACTCCCCCTATTGAGGATCAAGCTCAGAACCCGGGCAGTGGGGAGAGGGAAGGATAGGTCATTGCTCAACCACTAAGCTACATTAGCTGTGCAGTGTTATTTATTTTAACAATAATTTTGTCTTTTAAAAACTGGGTGATACATCCTAATCAAAATGTTTAGATTTTGGTTTTTTTATTCCTTTCCCTTTCTGATTAAGATTTTGCAAAAATAGACACAGCTTCAAAGAAAAATTCAGTAGTTTATTTTTCAGAAAGATTGGTTTTATTATCCAGGTGACATTCAAGGAGAGTTCCCTTATAGAGACTCCTATTTGAAAAATTAATCACTAAAGTTATTGTAAGTTTTCACTGTTCTACCTTTCCTTCTCTTTTAGATAAAGGAAACTTAACTCCTCTGCAAAAATAATGCTGAACTTGAAGAGCAAAAAGAAAAGCTAAATAAAGGTCTTTATTGTATTTGTTTTCTATTTTAGATTCTAAAGTAAGCAAAAGAAAACCAGCAATGAGAGAGAAAGAAGAAACTGAGCAGTATCAAAGAGACATACAAACTCTCATCCTACAGGTAAAGAATTTGTTTTGACAGACAGAACAGTTTCTACCCATGAGCTTAGCTTTGCGTACCATGCCTTCACTGCCATGTAAGTATCTCCTTGCACACATGTTCTATCTAGGCATCATGTGATTAAGAAAATTGAGGTTATTTCTACTTTACAGAAAATAATTATTCTGTATTAACCATTCTAGAGATGTTATTCTGAATCTTCATTTCACTCAGCTTGTATGCTAGGCCCTATGGAACAAAACCATCATACAGTAAGAATTCCCTTTATGGTTGCCTGAGGGTTACACAGAGTAGTTGCAGTTGTCTGTGCTAATAGATCAGCCTTTGGGAGGTATATAAATTTATTTGGTGTTTGTGTTTTAAGTCTGAGAAAGTAACAAATCTTCCTCTTACTACCTGGTAATACTTTATCATTTGAAACCATGATTTTTTTCATCTACTCGCACTCAAGTTCCTTTCCCTATCAGGTGGGGAGAGGGGAAATATTTATTTAAATGACAATTTATGTCTTTGGCCAGTAATGTATCTCCATTTGTTGTCAGACAGCCAGACTCAGACTCAGAGAAAGAAGGAAATTACATTATACTCATTTTGGTTCACTTTTTAGATGAAAAAAAAAAAGAAAATAATCATTCTGTTTTTGTGCAACTAGGAAGTATTTAAAAGGAGACAGTGCTAAAAGTTAAAAGGGGAGATAGTGAAGAGGTGAGAATCTTGGATATGGGAAACTGGGCTTTCATGCTTTCTCTGTGTGATGTAGATGCTTTGTTCTGTGTGAACAGTCTGCTCTTGTGTAGCCTAACCACATTTACAAGTCACTAAATAAGAAGGAGTGCCTGTTGAGGTTTTTCTTCTATTTGTCTTGCTGCTCTGCTTTTGTTTTGTTTTTTAATTTGTGTATTGTTGTTTTTGTGTGAATCCTCACTGGAAGATACTTTTTCCATTGATTTTTTTTTTTTTTTTTTTTTTTTTTTTAAAGAGTGGAGGGAGTAAGGGAGGAGAAGAGAGAGAAAAACATCAATGTGAGAGAGACACATCTATTGGTTGCCTCCTGCACACACCCTGACCAGGCCAGAGATGGAACCTGCAACCCAGGTATGTGCCCTTGACCAGGAATTGAACTTGAGACCCTTTAGTGTATGGGCAGACACTCTAACCACTGACCAACACCTGCGATAGTTGTTTGGAGAGGCAGGGTTGTTTGTTTTTTAAATTTTTCTGGAGAAAGGCTCATTTTTAGAGACAAGGATTAAAGGGAGGCAGGGAAGAATAGATACCTTGCCCTAGCTGGTTTGGTTCGATGGGTAGAGTGTTGACCTAGGGACCGAGGGGTCCCAGTTCAGTTCTGGTCAAGGGCACATGCCTGGGTTACGGGCTTGATCCCTTATAGGGGGCGTGCAAGAGGCAGCCAGTCAATGATTCTCAGCATTGATGCTTCTCTTTCCCTCTCCCTTCCTCTCTAAAATCATAAAATATATTTTAAAGAAAAGTGGATATCTCACCCTTTCTGGCCTGTCTAGGTGGAAGCCCTGCAGGCTCAGCTGGAAGAACAGACCAAGCTTTCTAGAGAGCAAGTTGAAGGGCTCATGGAGGATAGACGGATCCGCATTGAGGAAATACAAGTTCATCACCAAAGAAATCAGGACAAAATCAAAGAGCTTACCAAAAAGTGAGTGTTCAAGAAAGCTTTACCCAACAGTTTTTAAAAATTTTCTGAGTGGCTTAAAAGTTAAGTCTTATACTTTTAGCAGCATAGTGTCATAGAACTGACAGGGACCTTGAGAAAGTTGTCTTTATCAGACACCCCTGCGCCTCGGTAGGTAGGGATCCAGGCTTTTCTAGGGATGCTATTCATTCTTCTCTTGAAGAGCTGGTGGGTATTTCACATGCTTAATTTAACCCATTTTAGTACTTCAGCTTGATCTTAGTGATTAAGAACTGTACTTTATCCACTGATATGTTATCTGACAAAATAGTAGAGCCCTTTTATTTGTCCCTTCATGAATCTGGGAAAGTGTGACTTTACATTGTCTCTGTACTTACTGGTTTTTTGTTTTGTTTTGTTTTTTGTTTTTAATATATTTTATTGATTTTTTTACAGAGAGTAAGAGAGAGAGATAGTTAGAAACATCAATGAGAGAATCATCGATCAGCTGCCTCTTGCACACCCCCTACTGGGGATGTGCCCACAACCAATGTACATGCCCTTGACCGGAATCGAACCCGGGACCCTTGAGTCCGCAGCCAATGCTCTATCCACTGAGCCAAACTGGTTTCGGCTTTTTTTTTTTTTTTTTTTTAATTCTTAGGCAGTTTTCTAATTTTATGTATTATTATTATTATTATTATTTTTAATTGATTATGGTCTCACATAATTGTCCTTATTCCCCCATTCCCATCCCCAACCCCTCCCTAGATATACCCCCTTAACCTCCGTTGTCCATGGCCACTGGCTAGGCCCATATGTATGCACACAAGTCCTTTGGTTGATCTCTTCCCCTTACCCCCATCCTCCCTTACTTTCCCTCTGAGGTTTGAGAGTCTGATCACTGCTTCTCTTTCTCTGGGTCTGTTTGTGTTGTTCATTATTTCCTCTAGATGTGTGAGATCATGTGATCCAAGAAATACCCTTGTAAGAACCAAAACTGCAACAAGCTGCTTTTGTTTCTTACTTGCCTGCCTTTCCTCACCTTTCTGCAGTGTGATTTCATTCCCATCCTTTTCTAAGCATACCCTTTCTAGGGTCATCACTGACTTCTTAATTTCTCTGACCAGTTCTCTTTTTTTTTTTTTAAGTCCACAGACCGATACTCTACCACTGAGCCAAACCGGTTTCAGCGACATCATATCCAGTTTTTCAGGCTTGAAACTCAGCGTTATCTTCAACTCTCCATTCTTCTTCCCTAATTCCAGGCCCTAATGAGTGCAAGTCTAAGAAGCCTCTCAAATCATTCTCTGCCTTTCCATTCTTACCATATTGGATCGAGTTATATTCTTGTTTATATTGTTGAAATAATCTGTGTTCTTCCTAGCATTGGTCCCTTTGTATTCATTCTATAGTCTTCCTCACTATTACTAGTAGCTCCTGCATTAGGACTTAGCAAGTGCTTAAAAACATTTGATAGTTCCCTGTTTAGCTTATAATAAAGGCCTAATACCTTCACGTATATTATTAGGTACTTTATCTGGCACTAAATTAGCCTTTCAGTCTCACCTCCTTTTCTGTTGCTGTAGTTCACCTTGTTGTTTAAAATAATATATGTTGCTTATAGAACACTTGCTATGTGGTAGATACCTTGCAATGCAGTGTTACTTCTTCTCTGAAGCCTTCCCAAGGCCGAATTAAATTTTTCCTCCTCCACATTCCCATAATGATTAATATGCCTCTGCGATGACACTTATCACCTGTTCTAATTACTAGAGGCCCAGTGGTCCCTCAGCCCAACTGTGCCCTTTCACAGTCTAGGACCCCTCAGGGGATGTCCCACTGGGAGAGTGAGCGTAAGCTGGCAGTCAGACATCCCCTGAGGGTTCTTAGTGCTGCCACGGAGACAGGAGAGGCTCCCACCAGTGCTGCTGCGCTTGCCAGCTGTGAGCCTGGCTTCTGCACTCCCCCTGTGGGAGCACACTGACCACCAGGGGGCAGCTCCTGCATTGAGTGTCTGCCCCCTGGTGGTCAGTACATGTAGTGACTGATATTCCACCATTTGGTCGATTTGCATAGTAGGGTTTTATATAGGATGCCTTTGTTCCTGCAGGGTCTTGCCCTATGTGAATAATAGACACACTATAAACATCTGTTGAATACTTGGTAGTGCTTATCAAGTTGTATCTTGCCACCTCTTTTCTATGTTAAACATTCCTACATTTTAAAATATTTATGTTATATTCTTCATCCCTTCATTGTTTTTTTATTGTCTTCTCAAACTTTCCTAGTGTCTATTCCTTTATTTTAAAATGTTCGTGATTAGCTGAAACTAGTTTGGCTCAGTGGTAGGGCGTCGGTCTGCGGACTGAAAGGTCCCAAGTTCGATTCCGGTCAGGGGCATGTACATTGGTTGCGGGCACATCCCCGATAGGGGGTGTGCAGGAGGCAGCTGGTCGATGTTTCTCTCTCATCGATGTTTTTAGCTCTCTATCTCTCTCCCTTCCTCTCTGTAAAAACATCAATAAAATATTTTTTTTTAAATGTTCATGATTAAAGTTTCATATTCAAATTAAGATTTATAACCAATATAGGCTAGAGCAGTGTTTCCCAACCTTCTCTCATGATGAGAATCACCTGGTGGAGTTGTTAAAACACAGATTCCTGAATCCCAACTAAGAAGTGCTAAACTAGAATTTTTGAGAACATATAGGTAAAATTGCATACCTAACTTAGTGCTCTGTATATAAAATCTGTCTTAGAGCACTAGTTAAGTATACAATTTTTTTTCTTCTTTTTCTTTTTTTTAAATATATTTTATTGATTTTTTACAGAGAGGAAGAGAGAGGGATACAGAGTTAGAAACATCGATGAGAGAGAATCATCGATCAGCTGCCTCCTGCACATCCCCGGTAGGAATCGAACCCGGGACCTTTCAGTCCCCAAGCCGACGCTCTATCCATTGAGCCAAACCAGTCTCGGCTAGACCATTTCTTATGCATAATAGCATTTTTACTTTTCACTGGATTGTAATTGTTTTTAAAGGAACAGTATTTTTTAGCTCTTTATTGTTGAGTATTACAGATATTCCCCCATAATTTTCTCCCCAATTGTCCTCCTCCACTGGTTCCTGCCCTACCTGAGGCATTCACCACCCTATTTATTGTCTGTGTCCATGGGTAATGCATGTATGCATGTAAGTTCTTCGGTTAATCTCTTCCTGTCCCTCCTCCTCTATTCTCTCTGAGATTTTTCAATCTGTTTCATGTTTTCATGCCTCTGGTTCTATTTTATTCATCAGTTAATTTTGTTCATTAGATTTCTTGTTCATTTTGATTATTAGATTCAGTTATTGATAGTTATGTATTTATTGCCATTTTATTGTTTATAGTAGAGGCCTGGTGCACAAAAATTTGTGCACAGCAGGGGTGTCCCTCAACCTGGCCTACACCCTCTCCAATCTGGAACTCTCAGGGGATGTCCAACTGCCGGTTTAGGCTTGATCCTGATAGTCAGACATCCCTCTCACAATAGGGACTGCTGGCTCCTAATCACTTGCCTGCCTGTCTGCCTGCCTGATTGCCCCTAAATGCTCCCCAGCTGGCCTTATTGCCCCCAACTGCCCTCCTCTACCGGGACTGGCCTTCGTGCTGTGCAGAGCCATAGGACCCCCAGGCCTCACGGCACAGAATGGCCACCGGGCCCTGCCTTTGCTGTGCATGCAGCCATCTTGTGGATGTCACTCATGTGGGTGTCGCATGAGGACGTGACACCACCTACACTTTTATTATATAGGATTGTGATCATTTTCTCCTCCTTCTACTACTCATCTTTACTCCTTCCTCATCCCTCCTCCTTACTTTTCTTTAAGAACACCCTTTAACCTTTTATGTAATACTGGTTTGTTGATGATGCACTCCTTTAGCTTCTTCTTGTCTGTGAAGCTCTTTATCTGACCTTTAATTCTAAAAGATAGCTTTGCTGAGTAGAATAATCTTGGTTGTAGGTACTTGCTATTCATCAATTTGAATGATGTCCTTGCCACTTCCTTCTGGCCTGCTGTTGAGAAATTAGCTGACATTCGAATGGGTGCTCCCTTATATTGTAGGTAACTACTAACTGCTTTTCTCTTGCTGCTTTTAAGATTCTCTCTTTGTCTTTAACCTTTGTCATTTAAATTATAATGTGTCTTGGTGTGGGCCTCTTTGAGTTCATCTTGTTTGGGACTCTCTGCACTTCCTGGACTTGTATGTCTATTTTTTTTCAGCAGGTAAGGGAAGTTTTCTGTCATTATTTCTTCAAATAGGTTTTCAACTTCTTGCTCCCTCTCTTCTCTTTTTGACAGCCCTATCATGTGAATAATTTGCTTGAAGTTGTCCCAGAGGCTCCTTAGTCTTCATATTTTTGGATTCTTTTTTCTTTTTGCTGTTCTAATTGGGTGTTTTTAACTTCCTCATATTCCAAATCTCTGATTTGATTCTTGGTATTCTCTATTCTATTATTGATTCCTTCTAAGTTATTCTTAATTTTAGTTAGTGTATCCTTCATTTCTAACTTGTCATTTTTTTATGTTGATGTTCTCACTAAGTTCCTTGAAGTTCTCAAGTTCCTTGAGCATCCTTATAACCATTGTTTTGAACTCTGAATGTGGTAGTTTTCTTTTACTTCTTTTTCTGGAGATTTCTCCTGTTCTTTCATTTGTGTCATGTTTCTTTGACTCTGCATATTGGCTGCTTCACTGTATTTGATTCTAAATTAGGTAAAGCTGCTATGTCTCTTGGAATGGTCGAGTGGTCTTGTGTAGTATGTGTCCTGTAGGGCCCAGTGGCTCAGCCTCCCCAGTCATCTGAGTTAGGCACTTCCAGTGTGCCCCTGTGCAGGCTATGTGCACTGTCCTATTATAGTTGAGCCTTAATGGGAGGAATTGGCTTCCAGGCCAATTGGCTGTGTGAACTGAAAGAGTTGCTGTGCAGGAGATGCCTCTATGGAGCAGGACTTTCTTCATTGGGATTTTGGTGCTCATTATGTCTGCCCCTTGAATATGTCACTGGTTGATGTGGTAGGGTCATAATCTGTTGTGGTCTGAAGCTGACCACCAGGTGCTCTGGCTGTGGGTCCTCCAGCCTATGTCTTGCCTGGGCCACCCAGCACGAGCTACAGGGTAATCTGCAGATGGCTGCTACTTGCATTGAATTTCGAAGGGCCCAGGAGAGGCCAAGGTGTGAAGCAAGGCAGGCTATTGTTGGGGCCGCTTATTGAGTGGTATGGGACATGATGACACCAGCTGTTGCTTGTTTGGGAGATTTTAGGAAAGTCTGAAGCCTGAGCAGGACAGGCCATTCATATACAAAAACTGCTGCAAACAGCTTGGGTGGGATTGCAAATTGGGTGGGACAAGGTCTCAGTGAATCCAACCAGGGCAGAGCTAACAGTGTGAGCTAGGTTGAGGGAAACTTCCTGTTAGCATTGTGGTGGGGAAGTCTCAGCAAAAGGACAATGACCTCTGCCAGCACTTTTGTCTGAGAGAAAGCTGCCTCCCAGTTTTTGCCCTGATGCCAGACAATTGAGTTCCTCCCCGAATACCTCTAGATCCTTTCAAACTACTGCCACAGCATTGGAGCTCAGAGGGAGTGCGTCCGAGTAAATCTGTGTATTGGCCCTTTAAGAGGTATTGCTTGAGACTCCAGCAGCCCCCATGTCACTCCTGGTTCTTACAGCCTGGAGTTATGGGGACTTCTCTTCCCCACATTGGAACCCTGGGCAGAGGAGTCTGATGTGGGGTTGGGACTCCTTGTTCCTTACAATGGAGTGAGGGCGGGGAGGTGCTCTATGGCCAAGATATCCTTCTGGATTAAAAAAAACTCCACACACGGCTGTGGGACCAATCCATACACACCTCCACGCTTCCTATCAGTCTCATTGTGGTTTCTGCTTTAATGCTGCAGTTTTGGGCCTTCCATTCAGCCAGATTTCAGGTGGTTCTGAATGATGGTTGTTCTGTGGTTTAGTTGTAATTTTGATGTGGTTGTGGGAGGATGCAAGAGCTGCTTTTAACTATGCTCCTCCTCCTGGGAACAGTATTTTTTAATTGTCATAGTAATTTGTAATTTTATATTTGTTTTCCAGAATATTAATAACCATCCTAGTTTAGCATCATCTGTATGTCTGGCCACATGATCAGTTCCTTCCATTATGTCATCCTAAGGATATTAAATGGCATGAAATCCAAGTGCCCTTTTGGTATCACTTTCAAACCATTGGTACATTAGCAAGACCATACTTTCCCAGTCTGTAATTGAGAACATAATGTCAAATAGAATAAAATAACTGTTTTTATTAAATAATTGAAAGGAAGAGATAACCTGTGGTAACTGAATCAGTCTCTCCCTCTTTATACACACATACATATATCTAAATATATATTTTTTAACCTGCTGACAGTTATTCTACTTTGTGCCTGGCATTAGGCTATCATTTTTCTCTTGTCTTTTACTCATGAAAAGAACTAAATGGATCCGACATTATTTGCTCAGTGGAAAATTATAGTGATTGTGTCACAGTATTTAATACTCTTTGCAAACAGCTAGATTATTTGAATCAATATTTTTCTAGGTGTTGCTATTAAATTGATGGGTTGCTTACATCTAGGGATATTCTTTGTTGTAGAGAGAAACCTCATTTTTCTATTTCTATATCTCAATAGTCATCAGGAATCTGTTTAGTACTTTGTGTATGTCTATTAGTTGCTACTGTCCTAGAAAGTTTGGAGATAGCAGGACAAAGGTATATGGTAAGTAAGTATATGCTTTCACTCAGGTTGGAAAACATGCATGTTGGCAGTTAGAACATGATGGTTTATAAGCAATTATAACACACACAGGAGACTAGATTTAAACTGATAAGGAATTTCAGACAATGGAGAAATTAAATGGCCTGAAGTTGTCAAGATGACTGCATAGAAGAAGTTATCTTGAAAACAAAACAAGATTTGATATTGGGTAGTTTACATGTGCAGCACAGCATAAACAAACACAAAGTTTCTGATATATTTGTGTTAACACTCAGAACACTCTGAGTTACTTGTTTATCGTAAAGTCTAGTGTTTTGGGGTAGTCCATACTTATGCAGGCTATGTGTAAATATTTCTGTAGTCCTAATAATTAAATAACCTGCAATTAGCTCTTGGAAAAATACATGTAAAGACCATTTGTGAAACAGTGAGAATAAACATTACACTTAGTTCATTAAAACATCTGTGGTTGTCAGTAATCAGATTATATTTTAAAAAACTGCTAATATTTTACGTAATTTATTGTACAATTTTTAAAGAACCTGCATCTTTTCTTTGTTTGGAATAACTGTGTATGTGCCATGTAAGCATCTTCATGTCCAGTTTTGTACTTTCTTTCATAGTCTCCATCACACCCAAGAGCTGCTCTATGAGAGCACCAAAGACTTTTTGCAACTCAGATTTGAAAACCAAAATAAGGAGAAGTCATGGATGCTTGAAAAGGATCAGTTGATGTCAAGGATTAAGCAATACAGGGCACAGAGTAAGAAGAAAGAAGATAAAATTGGAAAAGGTTGGCCAGTTGTTCATGAGAGTCATCGCAAGCAATGTGAATATATTAAGGTAGTTTCTGTGTATTTACTTTCTTGTTGTTTGTTTTGTTTGTTTTTTCTGCAAGAATTTGAAAGAACTCAGAGAATTCCAAAAAAAAACAGAATTATCATTCAAGATCCATTCAGATCAGGAGCCGTTGTAGCAACAACCTCAAAAAACAGGTTTCAAAGAATAGCTCATCATTACAGTGTTTAGAGATTTAGAAAATGAAATGATTGATTGATCAATCAATCAGTTGATTCATTCATTTCATTCAATACTTTTTTTTTTTGTAATTCTCACCAGAGGATACCTTTCCATTGACTTTTGAGAGGATAGAAGAGAGAAAGTGAAGGAGAGAGAAAGAGAGAGAGAGAGAGAGAGAGAGAGAGAGAGAGAGAGAGAGAGAGAAAAAACTTAGATGTGAGAGACACATTAATTGGTTCATTCCCACATGTATCCTGACTGGGGCAAAGATTGAACCTATAACCCCGGTATATGCCCTTGACTGGGAATCAAACCCACAATCCTTCAGTCCTTGGACCAATGCTCTCTCATTGAGCCACACCAGCCATTCATTCAACATATATTTAATGCACTCCTTTATGGGCTAGGCTCTGGGTTTATAACAGTACATAAGCTTGACCAGGTCTGCTATCATGGCATTTACATCTTTTTTTAAAAAAATAGGTTTTTATTGATTTTAGAGAGAGAGGGAGAGAGATACATCGATGAAAGAGAATCATCTATTGGCTGCCTCCTGCATCCCCCCTACCTGGATGGAGCCTGCAACATGGGCAAATGCACTGAATGGGAATTAAAGTGTGACTTTCTGGTCCACGGGTCCAGGCTCAGCCACTGAGCCACACCAACTGTGCATGGCATTTACATGTTAATGGGTGAGAAAACAGAAACATTAACAATCAAAAAAAGGATAGCCCAGCCCTAGCTGGTTTAACTCAGTGGATAGAGCATCGGCCTACAGACTGAAGGTCCTGGGTTCAATTCCAGTCAGGGGCACATGCCCAGGTTGCAGGCTAAATCCCCAGTGGGGGGCATGCAGGAGGTAGATGGTCGATGATTCTCATCATTGATGTTTCTATCATTCTCTCCCTCTCCCTTCCTCTCTGAAATCCATTAAAAAAATAAATTAAAAAAAGAAAAGAAAAGAAAAAGGATAGCTGGTATGCCTCAGTGGTTGAGTGTTGACCTATGAACCAGGAGCATATGGTTTAATTACTAGTCAGGCACAAGCTCAGGTTGTAGGCTCAATCCCCAGTGTGGGGCAGGCTAGAGGCAGCCGATCAGTGATTCTCTCTCATCATTCTCTCCCTCTCCCTCTCCTTCTCCCTCCCCCTCTCCCTCTCCCTCTCCCTCTTCCTCTCCCTCTTTTACTTCCTCTCTGAAATCAATAAAAATATATATTTTTAAAAAGGATTGATTGCCAAAACCGGTTTGGCTCAGCAGATAGAGCGTCGGCCTGCGGACTGAAAGGTCCCAGTTTCGATTCCGGTCAAGGGCATGTACCTTGGTTGCAGGCACATCCCAGTAGGGGGTGTGCAAGAGGCAGCTGATAGATAATTCTCTCTCATTGATGTTTCTAACTCTCTATCCCTCTCTCTTCCTCTCTGTAAAAAATCAATAAAATATATTAAATAAATAAATAAATACATAAATAAAATAAAAAGGATAGTTTATGAGCCCAGGCCAGGTAGTTAGAGCATTGTCCTGATATACTAAGGTTGTGGGTTTGATCCTTTGTCAGGGCACATACAAGAATCAACCAATGAATGCATAAATAAGTGGAATAACAAATAGATGTTTCTCTCCCTCTCTTTATCTCTCTAAAATCAAATAAAAATGAAATATTTAAAACAGAGAAAATTATGCCAAAACTGGTTTGGCTCAGTGGATAGAGCATTGGCTTGTGGATTGAAGAGTCCCAGGTTCGATTCCGGTCAGGGGTATGTACCTTGGTTGCGGCCATGTCCCCAGTAGAGGGCGTGCAGGAGGCAGCTGATTGATGACTCTCATCGATGTTTCTAACTCTCTCTCTCCCTTCCTCTCTGTAAAAAAATCAATAAAATATATTCTAAAAATTATTATGATAAGTTGGTATTAAGGAAGTAAAAGGATTATATGAAAACTAGAGGCCCGGTGCATGAAATTCAACCCAGCCTGCACCTTCTCCAATCCAGGACCCCTCAGGGGACATCTGATCCTAGGGATCAGACCTAAACCAGCAGTTGGACATCCTTCTCATAATCCGGGACCACTGGCTCCTAACTGCTCACCTGCCTGCCTGCCTGACCACCCCTAACTGTATACCCTGCTGGCCTGATCACCCCCAACTACCGGCCTAGTCTCCCCTTACTGCCACACACCCCTCCCAGCCTAGTTATCCATAGCTGCCCCCCTTGCCGACCTGGTTGTCTCCAACAGCCCCCCTTGCAGGCCTGGTTGTCCCACACAGTCTGTTGTTTGATTGTTTGGTTGCCCCTAACTAAACCCCCTGCCGTTCTGGTCGCCCCACACAGCCTATTGCTCAGTCTTTTGGTCGCCCCTCACTAACCCCCTGCTGGCCTAGACGCCCCACACAGCTTGTTCGGTTGTCTGTTCGGTTGCAATGGTTACTTAGGTTTTTATGTGTGTGTGTGTGTGTGTGTGTGTGTGTGTGTGTGTGTGTATAGATTATATGTAGTTGCTGGAAGTCTAGTTTTATGGAAAAGCATATGGATGCTCTCTTAAGCCCGCTGTTTTTACTGAGATCTGAAAAATGGGATTTAGCTTGCCATTAGATTTAGGGGGGAGCATTCCCAGGGGAGGGCAAGTTTAAAGGCCCTGGTGTATGTATGTTTAAAAAGGAAGTGATATACAAGGAGATTGGGAGGGTGGCCCTCCATTACTGGCTGCTACACACACCCTCAGTCTCCTTGTGTACCACTTCCTCCTTGCTTATTTCTTTTTAACCTTATATTCTTCGTTTTCCTTGACCATACTTCAGGACCTTTAAACTTATTCCTTTTTCTGCCTAGAATGCTCTTTCTTCAAGTCTGTATTTAAGGAAGTAACATGATCTCATTTAGCTTTTTAAAGATCATTCTGACATCCTATATAATAAAGAGGTAATGTGCAAATTGACCATCATGCCCTCGCACAAGATGGCCGCCCCCATGTGGTCAAAGATGGCTGCCACATAATGACTATCAGGGGAGGGTAGTTGTGGGAGACGGGGCTGGCAGGGGAGGGCAGTTGGGGACAACCAGGCCTGCAGGGGAGGGCAGTTGGGGGTATTTGGGCTGGCAGGGGAGCAGTTAGACTGGCAGCAGAGTGGTTAGGGGGTGATCAGACTGACAGGCAGAAGCAGTTAGGGGCATTTAGGCAGGTAGGCAGGTGAGTGGTTGTTAGAGGGTTGTCCCAGATTGGAGAGGAAGCAGGCTGGACTGAGGGACAACCTCCACTCAGTGCACGAATTTTGTGCACTGGGCTTCTAATGTATAATAAATATTGTTGATATTTCTTTCTTTTTAAAGAACTTTAGAAATGTTCCCTAAACATGTACAGTAGTTCCTTGGTATCTGCAGGGAATTGGTTCCAGACACCAAAATCCATGGTTGTTCAAGTTCCATATATAAAATGGCATAGTATTTGTATTAATCTATACACATCCTCCCATATACTTTAAATCATCTTTACCCGTAATACCTAATACAATGTAAATGCTATGTAGCTTGGCCAGTGTGGCTCAGTGATTGAGCGTCAACCTATGAACCAGGAGGTCATGGTTCAATCCCCAGTTAGGGCACGTGCCTGAGTTGGGGGCTCCATTCCCAGTTAGCGGGTGTGCAAGAGGCAGCCGATCAATGATTTTCATTGATGTTTCTATTTCTCTCTTCCTCTCTGAAATAAAGGAAAAAAATTGTTTTTAAAGAAACTAATATAAATGCTATGTAAATGATTGTTATACTGTATCATGGAGGGCAGTGGTTATCAGCTGGTGTGCTACAAGAATTTTTAAAACATTCAATACCTGACTATTTGGTCAGGGCACTGACCTCTTTTCCGTTACATTGTCAAATTAAAAAATGACCATAGCCACCCCAGATGGTTTGGCTTATTGGATAAAGTGTTGGCTTGTGGACTAAAGGGTCCCAAGTTTGATTCCAATCAAGGGCACATGCCCGGGTTGTGGGCTCAGTTCCCGAAAGAGGATGTGCAGGAGGCAGCAGATCAATGGTTCTATTTCATCATTGATGTTTCTATCTCACTCTAACTTCCCCTTCCTCTCAAATAAATTTTAAAAAATATATTTTTTTAAAATGACAACAGCCAACGACAATTTCCATCTGATGTGAATGAACCAAAATTATACCTATTTTTTTTTCTCAAATCGGCAAAAAACATTTTTGGTGTGGGGCAGAATTTTAGTCATTAGTTTATGTGTGCAATGAGACGAAAGAGGTTGAAAATCATTGGTTTAGGACAGTGGTCAGCAAACTCATTAGTCAACAGAGCCAAATATCAACAGTACAACCATTGAAATTTCTTTTGAGAGCCAAATTTTTTAAACTTAAACTTCTTCTAATGCCATTTCTTTAAAATAGACTCTCCCAGGCCGTGGTATTTTGTGGAAGAGTCACACTCAAGGGGCCAAAGAGCTGCATGTGGCTCATGAGCCACAGTTTGCCGTCCATGGGTTTAAGGAATAATGACAGGGGGCGGGGGAATCTGTACATGTTAAGTAGGCCTAACTACATAGTATCAGCAACAGTGTACCTTTTGTTTGTTTGTTCCCTGTTTGGTTGAATCCATGGATGTGGAACCTGCAGATAGGAGGGTTGGCGATATTATTATGCTTCATTGGACAGTTCTGAACTTCATTATCTTCAAAGAACCAAAGTTATTTGTTTTATTTTAAAGGATTTCTACTGTGTGTACTTTAGAAAAAGGCTAAGAGAATTGTCTTTCAAATGTTCTCCAAAGTTCCTTACTATCTTGTTATGTAACTCATTTGTACTGAAAATCTTTTCATTCCTTTTTTTTCTTTATCTAAATGCTATTTCAATTATCTAAATTATAGAACTGAATGTTGTTTTCCACATTTGACCTGCAGTGCCTAAAGGATAAGTTAATACAAGAGAAAAAGCTGTCCAACATGTACCAAGAGCAGTGCATTTCCCTAGAAGAAGAACTTGCCCGAATTCGTGAGGAAGAGGGAATGAGGAGAGAGATCTTCAAGGTACAGTATTCTCCACCACTTATGATGGTGTGTGAAGTCTAATGGCTCAGGAATGCTCATCTTCATATGCCTTCTCATTTCCCTATATTTAGGATCGCTCTAACAAGATGGGGAAGCGTTTACAAGTAATGACAAAACGCTATGAGGCCTTGGAGAATCGGCGTATGTTGGAAGTAGAAGGCTTTAAGACGGATATTAAGATTCTCAGGCAGAAACTGAAAGACTTGGAACAAATGCTCTATAAGGTAATTCCTGAACCTGAATTACTAAAAGGGATAAAAGGGGTACAAGTGAGAAAACATGGTCAACAGGGCTCTCAGAAGAAAGATGTGCTATTTCCCTAATAGTAAGTGCTGATGGATCAACATCCTTTCAGTCTCATTAAAATTAGTTTAACAAGTACATACTGCTGAAACCAGTTTGGCTCAGTGGATAGAGTATCAGCCTGCAGACTGAAAGGTCCCAGGTTCGATTCTGGTCAAGGGCATGTATCTTGGTTGCAGGCACATCCCAGTAGGGGGTGTGCAGGAGGCAGCTGGTTAATGTTTCTCTTCATCGATGTTTCCAACTCTCTATCCTCCCTTCCTCTCTGTAAAAAGTCAATAAAATATATTTTAAAATAAATAAAAATAAAAATAAAATAAAATATATTTTTAAAACAAAACAAACAAACAAATAAAAAAACAAGTACATACTAGCCCGGCTGGCATGGCTCAGTGGTTGAGCATCCACCTATAAATCAGAAGGTCATGGTTTGATTCCCATCAGGGCACATGCCTGGGTTGCAGGCTCGATCTGTAGTGTGGGACGTGCAGGAGGCAGCTTACCGATGATTCTCTCTCATCATTGATGTTTCTATCTTTCTATCCTTTCCCCTTCCTCTCTCAGATCAATAAAAATATACTTTTGAAATAAGTACACACTAAAGAGAAGACAAAAATAATTGAATGACTGTATCATTATACTTTTATGTAAGCTAAAATTAACAGAAATTTTCATCCCTCCCAATTCAAGAAGTAGATTAAAAGAGCTATGTTGAGGGGAAAACCAAGATGGCAGCATAGGTAAACACCTAAACTGCAGCCTCGCACAAAAATTTCAAAAATACAACTAAAAGACAAAACAGACATCATCCAGAACCACAGGAAAGCTGACTAACTGGAAATTCTACAACTAGAAGGAAAGAGAAAACCACAAGGAAAATCAGAGGAGCTATAAAAGCCTGAGGTACAGAGACACGGGAACACACCTGTGGGGAGGATGGAGCCGGAGAGGATGGGGTGGCTGAATGCCTGGCTTGTGTTCTCCAGCGAGAAGAAGATAAAAGCTCTGGACTGCACTGAACCCTATTTCCTACTGCACTGAACCCCAGTTCTGGGAGAGACCCTGGGGACCCAGGCCCATACAGGGAGAATCTGGGCTGTAAGGCAGAAACTCAGGAAAGTGGCAAAAGGCAGAACTCTGGAGGCATGCACGTGAATACGCGCAGAGGACGGACTGTTGACTGTGCCACTGGATTGCCTAGAGGGAAGGAGACAAAAGCTCTGGACTGCGCTGAACCCCAGTTCCGGTCAAGAATCTGGGAATCCGGATTCACTAGGGGAGACTAGTCTGTCTGGCAGCGGGCAAAACTCGAGCGTGCCTTTCTCTCAGAGAGGGACACTAAGACCCAGTAACCTCATAGGGCGGGGCTGACAGGAAGCCAAAGCTGTAGGCTCCACCCTGAAACTCTGCACCATCCAAGCTGAGCACAGAAGGTTTTGCAATTTTCCAAGTCTAGTCAAATAAGACTGTCTCCTGGCATAAACACAACTGATCCTCACAGTCAACTGGCCTGGAGGTCAACTCTTCCCACTGATACCAACAACAGTCAAGACTTAACTACAACAAGCCTGTACACACAGTCCACAAAGAGGTGCATCAAGAGTGTCCACCTCAGGTAACTGGGGAGGCTGACCCACTGGGCCATATAGGACACCTAGCACACAAAGCTACCCTCCCAACTCAGGGGAGCAGTGAAAATGCGGAGACAAAAAAACAGATCACAAATGAAAGAAATGGAGGAAAACAAACAGCTGAAGATAGAGTTCAAATCACGGTTATAAGGTTTTTTAAGAATTTCCTAGAAAAGCTGATAAATTTAGCGAGACCCTCGAGGATATGAGAGAGAGCCTCGAGGATATGGAAAAGGATCAACTAGAAATTAAACATAAACTGAATGAAATAAAAAATATTATACAGACACCCAACAGCAAACTAGAAGAACGCAAGAATCAAGTCAAAGATTTGAAATACAAAGAAGCAAAAATCACTCAACTGGAAAAGCTAAAAGAAAAAAGAATCCAAAAATTTGAAGATAGGGATAACTTCAAGTGTACCAACATCAGAATTATAGGGGTGCCAGAAGAAAAAAGAGAGCAGGATATTGAAGGCCTATTGAAAGAAATAATGACAGAAAACTTCCCCCACTTGGTGAAAGAAATAGACTTAAAAGTCTAGGAAGCACACAGCACCCCTAACACAGTGTTTCCCAAAGTGTGGTACATGTACCCCAGGAGTACGGGAAGAGTTTGGTGGGGTACACATTGCACAGGAGTTTGGTGGGGATATGCACTGCATCGTGCTTAGCTGCGCCTAATTCTATATTCTCATGAGTACGAGGGGGTACTCAGTGTTACAAAATTATAGAAGGGGTACACATATGTCAAAAGTTTGGGAAACACTGCGTAACAAAAGGAATCCAAAGAGGACCACACCAAGACACATCATAATTAAAATGCCAAGAGCAAAGAGAGAATATTAAAAGCAGCAAGAGAAAAACAGTTACCTACAAGGAAGCACCCATACAATTGTCAGCTGATTTCTTAACAGAAACTATGTAGGTCAGACGGGAGTGGCAAGAAATAGTCAAAGTGATGATTATCAAGAACCTATAACCAATAGTACCCTACCCAGCCAAGCTGACATTCAGAATTGAAGGTCAGATAAAGAGCTTCACAGATAAAAAAAAAGCTAAAGGAGTTCATCACCACCAAGCCAGTATTATATGAAACGCTGAAAGGTATTCTTTAAGAAGAGGAAGAAGAAGAAAATGGTAAAGATAAAAATTATGAACAACAAATACATATCTATCAACAAGTGAATCTAAAAATCAAATGAATAAAAAATCTGATGAACAGAATAAACTGGTGAATATAATAGAATCAGGGACATAGAAAGAGAGTGGACTGACATATCTTGGGGACAGGGATGTGGGGGGTGCGGGAAGAGATTGGACAAAAATTGTACATCTATGGATGAGGACAGTTGGGGGGGGGGGTTAAGGGAAAAGGGTGGGATGAGGACCAGGTGGAGGGGAGCTATGGGGAGTATGGGGAAAGAGGAACAACTGTAATAATCTGAACAATAAAGATTTATTTATTTTTTTAATTTAAAAAAGATCTATGTTTTTTGTTTGTTTGTTTGTTTTTTACAAGTAGGGAAAGTGAGTAATTGAGTAATAAAGTAATTTTTCCCTATCAGACACAGCTTTATTTAGAAACAAAGTTTCAAGAACCTTTTTACAGAGACTTAACCAGTTGTCCACCCATCATCACTATGCTCCAAAGTTGATTGTAAAAAAGAAGAGGTACTTTCTTAACAAATTTACCAATGATGTTTATATTGGTCTCTTTTATTCTACATTACTACCTTTTTGTTAGTCACTAAAACTAAGAATTGGATTTACCTTGTATACCAAATGTCTCATAAAAAAGAGCCGTCATAGTTTGGTCTTTATGACTGATTTCTCTCCACTGGCATATGCTGTAATCATTTCTTCTTCTTTTTTTAAATCTCTAGGCAACAGTTAATGCTCGGGCAAACCAGGATCTTGCTATTCTGTGTGAGGTTCGTGACAGCAATAAACGAGCACATAAAATACAAGGAGAACTGAAGAACCTAAAGTCCAAACTATTTGGTCTGGAGAATGAACTTAGACTCTGTTGATATTTACTTTTAGAAATGGCCTTGGTCTGTAGTGAGTTTTTGTGTGTGTGTGTGAAATCTGAGAAAAATATCATCTCCCAGAAACTGTGGGCAGAGTTGACTAGAATGGTGGTACCCATTATTATAAAGACAGGATGAAGAATCAGGGACCACTAAAAAAGCCATTCTTGCATTGTAAACTTTATAATTTTTGCTGTCCTATTCACCATTTTTGCTTTTTTATATGTGTGTTTTGTGTGGGGTTTTTTGGTCTTGATTATAACCTAAATTACTCAGAGACCACATATTTTTCCCATTTATAATGAGAGTTTTTTATTTTTTAAGAAGACAGTGACCGTGAAAACTTAGGAAGGAAGGATGTTTGCTATGAGCATGGCTGAGTGTCATAAGAGAAACACTTTCATTGAGGAGACAAAGGTATCCACCCAAATGGCCTTCTCTTAGGCAGAGGGACAACCGTGGAGCGCGAATAGGCAGTAATGCTATGTAATTGTCTTCAGTTGAGAGTTGGGAGGCCTGAGTTACTTTTATGGACACCCAATCTCAAAGTTTCACCAGAGGGCGATAGAGACCCTGCTCTTAAGCAAAATGTATTGAGGAAAATAAAGTTGCCACTTTGGTTAAGAGGGAGTAAAAATTTAATAATCCTTGTATGAAAAGTTCAGCATTGTACCAATAACATTTTTAAATAATTTAAATATTTTAAATTAACTATTTTTCAATAAAATATGTAATTGAAAATATTCTCTTTGAGTTTTCTATAATTTCATGTTAAAAGCACATTTATACTTTGTTGGTGACTTGGTTTACTTATTTGTTGCATGGTCTCTACAGTCCTGTATAAATATTAAAGTTTTCCTAAATGTGTTCTTTGAAGTTGTCTGGTATTGGAGGTAGCCAGTTAGTACTAAAGATGATGACACTAACACTTTTCCATTTTTTTTAAAATATATTTTATTGATTTTTCACAGAGAGGAAGAGAGAGGGATAGAGAGTTAGAAACATCGATGAAAGAGAATCATAGACCAGCTGCCTCTTGCACACCCCCTACTGGGGATGTGCCCGCAACCAACGTACATGCCCTTGACCGGAATCGAACCCGGAACCCTTCAGTCCGCAGACCGACGCTCTACCACTGAGCCAAACTGGTGCCGGCACTTTTCCATTTTTTTTTATCTATATCCTCTTTTAGGCAAATTGCTATGCTTTGAGAAAAAAGTAATTGTGTGTGTCACTCTCACTTTGATGTTTCTCCCTCCCCCACCCCCTTCTTCTCCTCCTCTCTCCTTCCCTCCCTTTCTTCTACTCTCTAAAAATCAATGGAAAAAACATCGTTGGATAAGGATTAAACACACACACATACATACACACCACACAACAACAGAGAAGGTGACTTAAATAAGGTCATATTTGAGCTGAATTGTAAAAGTAAATTTGAAGTCAGATAAGAATTTGGGCATTTTAGGTAGAAGGACAATATGTGTGAAGGCATGGAAGAATGAAATGTTTTGGAAAGTACAAGACCAGGAGACAAAGTTATGTAATATAGGACAAAAGAAATACATGAATTTCATTTAATACAATAATGTGAAGTCATATATTTCATTACCTTTTGCATGAATTGAAAACAAAATGAAAATAGCATCAGAAATATTTAGTGACTAGAGGCCCTGGGCACAAAATTCATGCATGGGGGTTGGGGTGTCCTTCAGCCTAGCCTGCACCCTCTCTAATCTCGGACCCCTTGAAGGCAGTGAGACATCCCTCTCACAATCCAGGACTGCTGGCTCCCAATTAATTGCCTGTCTGCCTGCCTGATTGCCCCAAACCACTATACCTTCCAGCCTGATCAACTCCTAACCACTCCCCTGCCAGCCTGATCAACGCCTAACTGCTCCCCTGCTGGCCCGATTGCCCTCCTAATTGCCCTCCCCTGCTGTCCTGGTCACCCCTAACTGTCCTCCCCTGCTGGACTGGTTCCCCACAACTGCCCTCCCCTGCAGGCCTGGTCCTGCACCAACTGCCCTCCCCTGCCAGCCTGGTTACCCACAACTATCCTCCCCTGCTGTCCTGGTTGCCGCCAATTGCCCTCCTCTGTAGGCCTGATCCTGCACCAACTGCTCTCCCCTGCCAGCCTGGTTACCCCCAACTGCCTTCCCCTGCTGGCCTGGTTGCCCCCAACTGCCCTCCCCTGCAGGCCTGATCCTGCACCAACTGCCCTCCTCTGCAGGCCTGGTTGCCCCCAACTGCCCTTTCTTGCAGACCTGGTCCCTCCCAACTGCCCTCCCCTATTGGCCTGATAGCCCACAACTCCCTCCCCTGCTGGCCATCTTGTGGTAGTCATCTTTGACCACATGAGGATGGCTATCGTGTGTGTGTTGGTCAATTTGCATATTACCTATTTATTATATAGGATACTCATGCATTGAAAGAATTTGAAGTGCAAACTCATTTTTGTATCACACATTAATAAATAAATGAAATGTTTATTTCCTAGGAAGCCCTTACACTGCAGATCAAGGCAAGGAACAGTCAATACCAGAATTCACTGCAGGATCTGCAGAAACAAAGCAAAGGATGGTGCAAAAGATCTTTACAAAAGAGCCATCAGTATCATTTCTTTGCCTTTTAAATTTTCTCTTCTAGCCTACATATGAGTAACTTAATAATAAGTCACCTTTAAATATATATATATATATATATATATATATATATATATATATATTTCAGAGAGGAAGGGAGAGGGAGAGAGAGAGAAAAACATCAATGATGAGAGAGAATCATAGTCTGCCTTCTGCATGCCCCCTCTTGAAGATGGAGCCAGCAACCTGGGCATGTGCTCTTAACTGGAATCAAATCCAGGAGCCTTCAGTCCCCAGGCAGACACTCTATCCATTGAGCCAAACCAGCTAGGACAAGTCACCTTTTTATTCACTGAAATATATGTTATTTTTTCCCAACAGAATAGCCTATGACTATATTATTTTTGGTCCAGTCTTATGCTTCTCACTGCCTCTCCACCCACACCACACTAATTGGGCTACTAAGATTTACTGTAATATTTGCAACAGAGCAGATAGTATTGTCACAGCTCACTGCAATCAGAAACCAGACAAGAGAAGATGGCTACAGTCCCTATCCAGAATAGAAATTCAAGGCCTGAGCTAAAGAGACATTGGGAATGGATAGGAAGGGACAGTGAACATCACTTCCCTACAATGGAAGAAATAGGAAGGTTAGGGAAGAATTAAGGATAATTCTCTAAATCCACAGTTTCTGGTTTGGGGAACCATGTGTATGGTGACAGCATTAACTGAGATGTAGCATATATGAGAAGCAAATTTCCAATAAATTTGAAATTAGATGTTAGTGATAAGGGAGGTCAAAGAGAAGTTAAGATTAAAGATAGAGATTTGAAATTATTGTTATACAGAAGATAATTTAAATCATTGATTCAAATTCGGGTGTGGATGAAGCAGAGATGGGAAGCATATAGAATGAGAAGAGGGCCAAGAGGAGATACCTCATAATGAAAGAATGGTCTGAATAATAAGTTTTCTGGAAACCTAGAGGGATGAAAAGCCGAAGAAGTAAAAGGCTGGCAGTGTTGTTACTTTGGGGGAGGGAGAAGGAACATAAATTAGAATTGGGTATTGCCACTTCATAGAAAAATAAGGTAAGTTATAATTAAGATTTGGCAATTTAGTAACAGGTGAATTTAGAGCAATTTCAGTGAAGTAGAGATGGAGGTCAGCCCATATTAGGTTGAGAGATGAGACAAAGAGGAAGATGGAAGTAGCTTGAGAGTTGATAGAACCAAGGAAAGGAGTTTTGATGGTTTTAGGTTGGAAAAGATGTAACATACTTATAGACTGAAAGGGGAAAGCAGAGGAAGGTATTGAAAATAGAGTAATGAGAGTGGGTGTTTGGGGAAAAGATGCTGGAGGAGATTGAGAGCCAGTGTTGAAGGAGGCAATAAGGGTAGATAAGGGGTGATTGCATCATTTTTAATAGAGGAAATAAAATCAAGGCCATCCACTAAAAGAGAGATGGGCATTGATGTGATGAGGAACTTGATGAAAAGAGTGAACATTTGGAAATATAAGAGGGAGCTGCTAAGGAGCATGTGATAGAATTGTGAGGGATAGGTCTTCATGAGGGAGGAGTTAATTGAGTTGAGCTGACTGCCAATGGAAAAATGTCTAGGATTGCAGCAAGTCATAGTCTGCTCACGTACCTTCCAAACTTCCCAGAAAGGTGAGACACAGAGGCAAAATAAATCTAAAATAGGCAGACCAGCTGGAAAAAGGGCAAGTGAAGAGACGGAGCTGGAGGGGGGATTTGGCTACTAAATGAAAGGAGACACTGCAAAAGAAATGTTTCAATAGGGTTTGGGGGTTTTTTCCTTTCTCCCCCCCCCCCCAAAAAAAAACAACAACAACAACAAACAAACACAAAACAGCAAGGTCAAAATTTGTTCTTAAAACTGGAATGGAAAACACACACACACACACACACACACACACACACTAAAAACCCAAGCTAAAGCAATAACTGACATAATTTTTCCTTTTGTAGATGTACTGTTCCATTTGGAAGCCAAGGTTGGTACCACTTAAGTGGGCTCCTGCAAGGGTTTTGTGTTTGTTTATTTTTTAAAGTCTCTACATTAGAATACTACTTTATGGTCTAAGGAGCTATGGAGTATTCCACTCCTGGATTGACTAGTGGCTTAGTTTCAAGTTAGCCCTACAAAAGGCTATTTTTCCATTGATTTTTTTTTTTTTTTTTTTTTTTTTTTTTTTTTTTTTTTTTTTTTTTTTTTTTAAAGAGAGAGAGGGAGCTGAAACCGGTTTGGCTCAATGGATAGAGCGTCAGCTTGGGGACTGAAGGGTCCCGGGTTCGATTCCGGTCAAGGGCATGTACCTTGGTTGCGGGCATATCCCCAGTAGGGGGTGTGCAAGAGGCAGCTGATCGATGACTCTCTCCCATCGATGTTTCTAACTCTCTATCTCTCTCCCTTCCTCTCTGTACAAAATCAATAAAATATATTTAAAAAAATAAATAAAAATAAAAAAATAGAGAGGGAAAAAGAGAAATGTCAATGTGAGAGAAACACATTGATTGGTTGCCTCCTGCATGATCCTCGCCTGGGAGGAGCCTGTAGTTTTTTAAAAAATATTTTTTATTTAATGATTTCGGAAAGTAAAGGAGAGGGAGAAAGATAGAAACATCAATGACGAAAGAGAATCATTGATTGGTTGCCTCCTGCATGCTCCCCAGGGGGATCAAGCCTGAAACCTGGGCATAAGCCCTGACCAAGAATCAAAACATGATGCCCTAGTTCCGTGGTTGGCAACATTCGACATCGCGAGCCACATTCGGCTCTTTGGCCCCTTGAGTGTGACTCTTCCACAAAATACCACAGTCTGGGCAAGTCTATTTTGAAGAAGTGGTGTTAGAAGAAGTTTAAGTTTAAAAAATTTGGCTCTCAAAAGAAATCTCAATCATTGTACTGTTGATATTTGGTTCTGTTAACTAATGAGTTTGCAGACCACTGTCCTATCACATGTGTCAAACACAAGGCCCGCGGGCCAAATCCGTCCCGCCAGGCCTTGCAATGTGGCCCGCACCGCGCTGTCATCACTGCACTCCGCTGCGTTTTCATCACAATGACAGTTTATGACTGTTCAGTAAACCATTTGGCCCGCGATTTAGGCTGGATTTTAGATTTTGGCCCCTT